GCTCAAGATTGTCTGAGTTTATATTAAGACAAAACGGCTTTTGAGATTTCAGTGCATTAAAGCTGTGTATGTATGTCCCAAGAAAACAGCACATGGAGTTTCCTTTTCGCTTCAAGTGTGAAGTGCTTTTTAGACCGCTAGCATTTTCCAGAAGTGTATAGTGTTCCCTGCATTTGTCACCATTTGCTACTCCAGATTATATCCTGATGCTTACTAAAAAGTGAAGTTCCTGGATATGAGAGCACTTTTTTCTCAGCATACTGCTGCTTTGGCCTGAGTTTTTTATTATTTGGAGGAATTGCAAAAAATCAGAAAGAACTCTTGGGCAGCTCAGTGCTCCTGAGACAACATCCAGGATTGTTTTATGGCAAAGGGCCAGTAGACCTGCTTGCTTGCATTTGTCAAAGGAGAAACCTTTTCATCTTCGTTCTTGATCATAAAATAGCCTGTTTCAGGATTGCATTTTGTTAAGTACCCTATTCTCAGAGACACATTGAACAGAAACTGGGTTAACTGATACCAATATACTTCAAGTTCTCATGAACATTGCTTGCTTGCGAAGCTTCTCCCTACAGAGCAGATAGCTAGGTCGCACTACAGATCAGGTTTGCTTTGCCATCTATGCAAGTGTTTTGTTACCTTGCTGTGGGCTTCAGGATGTCTGAAGAAATTACAGTGAGTTTTGAAGAGGCTTCCCTGAAACAGCACTAGCTCGAGCTTACTGTTCTGAGTACTGTGGTGTGTGGCTTCCACTTGTAACATGGGAGCACTTACGCACTAAACTTCTTGGATTAATGTTTTGAGGAGCAGTAAGTATCGCTAGCACCTACCATCGGGTGATCTTGAGTTAAGCATGAATTAAGCAAGTTCAGTTGTGATTTCCCTGCCTCCCTTATGCTATTGTTTCTTTTGTGTATAGAAGCTGGTTTATGATCTCTCCAGATGAACGGGAAAAACTGCAGTTCACAAATTATGGTGATTAGATATAGAATAATCTCATAGAATAACAGAAGTCTAGATTGTGCTGTGAGCCCTGAAGTACAAGATGTTATATCCAATTGTGACACCTGCTAGCATTGTTATACTGGCATATTCTCATCATAAGTATAAAAGTGTTTTCTGTCATGGTTTTTCTAGATAGATGCTTCCTTGACAGCATAAGAGGAGGACTACCATAATCTAATCTTGCACTGCATGAGGAGGATTTCTTTTGTATCTGTTTGGAATTTCCTGGTTCTATAAATATCTAATCCTTGTGTTATGCAACAGGTAGAACAAAATACCTTGTCTTCCACTTCTTGATATCTCTTCAGAGCTTGCAACCTAGAATGTAGAGAATTTCTTTTATAAGAAAATTCCCGCAGCAATCTTTTTCCAAGTTTGTTTTCTTTGAATGACCAGGATACTGCACCTATAGTATTGTGATTACAATCATTATAAACCAACACTTTCTCACAAGAGTATTAAAAAGCACAACAATTATAATACTACTGATAATCAGCAATCTGCACCTCCTTCCTGTAATAATATTCTTCAGAGAATACTTTATCTAAAAAAAAAAAAATCAAGAATCCCTTACTTTTATTTAGTATCTACCCGATTCGTTCATTAGGGGGCACTGCACAGCAATAGAAGATTGTGGGATTTGCAGAGAAACCTGGATGTGTTTCCAGTGATGCCCTTTCTATAACTTCATCTTCTAAACTGTCTGCGGGCAGTGTAAAATGAAGGTCATTGCTGTAATTCAAGCTCAGTTCTAAGACTTTTGATAACAGTTTATGATAACTAGATAATGCTAGAATATAAATGTTCACATTCCCTTTCTGTGTGCAGAGAAAGGTCTTCATTGTAGTTCACAGCACTGTCTGATTTGCCATTTGTGTTGATCTTAAGAAGATACATACTTCTACACACTACTTTCTAAATTAAACCCGGAGCACAATTACACTCACTGGACTTAGTTTATATATATAGTTGGAAATAAGGGTTACTTCCAGTGGATCCTGATGGGGAAATGTTAGTCTTCAACAATTGCTTTCTGTCCAGCACTGTATACAGATGTGTTTTGCTTTTGGGCGTGGACTTTTCTGTGATGAATACCAAAGTTTTTGCAACTGGAGAGAAGTTGCTGTAAAAAGCAAAAGCATTTTATAAACTCAACACCGGAGCAGAACTCTTTTCAGTAACAAACGTTAATCTGTACTGGTATGTTTCTGAAGAGAATATACAGGGAGTCTTTTTTTTCCAGGTATTTGAGTTGATAAGGTACTACATTGAGAAAATTTCTGATTACTTCATAGAGGTTTATTTTTCGGTTTGTTTAGTTTAGTGCTGTTATATATTTACCTGCATTTGCAGAGGTTTCTTTTGAGATTTTTTCTAAATTTCAAAAACTTTCTTCTTTTGGGATATGGGTCACTTTTGTTCTGCCTTATGCTAGACAGCATGCATCTGGGTTACTTTGAAGCATTTAGGTTATTTAGACAGTGCTTTGATGCGCATTGAGCCTAATTTTCATGATTTTTTTTCTGTTTTACTTGCCTTTTGCTCCTTACACTTGTCTCTTGTGGCACCCTTGCAAGCAAATGGCAGAATATTGTAGGATCCAATAAGGCTTGTTTTCAAGGAGACTAGGCTAAAACAATCTTGTCCATTATTGAGGGGTAGCTACCCAAAGATGATAGGAAATCCAGCCAAACTCTACTGATGGAACTTGTCAGTGAGGTAGTGTGTGAGGCAAAGAGCCTTCTTTGAACTTTTGTGCAGGAAAGATGCAAAATCTTAGAGGTAGTTACCCATTTTTCTTAGCTTTCTTTCAGGACTTCGCCAGCAGTGCTGTACCTGTCTCATTTGTCTGAAGTTCTTTGTAAACCTAAATGATCTACATAACTGAAGTAAGGGAAGATTACAGCGCTCTGTTAAATCTAGAGAGTAGAGGAATATGACAGGGGCAGTCTGTTCCTTCTTGGATTGATGCATTCTCCCTGAGACCTTTTGGGAAGTAATGCCTGTTGTGAAGTGTCAGCTCTATTTCAGTAGTTGTAGTATGAGTAGGCACTCATGCCTAATGCCGCTTAGGTCAAGAGTATGACAGATTACAGTACATGAACCAGAGGTGACTAGATTAAACATTGTGATCATCCTTATAGCTGAAAACACAAAGTGGGTTTTGGCACTGACAGATATTGCACTGAATGATTAACTCTGATCAGGTAAAAAATGAATGCTATGACCCATTCAAATGTCAAACATGAATATGTTGCATTCAGTTGGATTTTATTTCACACTGGAAGCAAACAGCATGATTCCACTGTTTCCCAAGCGTGTCTTATTCTGATCCATGCCAGCCTGTCACTTTACTTTTACCATCCCTATCAAAACCGATCTTTCACTTGTTGGAACCAGTTCTTGGTGTTTAATAGTCTGAAATGCTTGTCACTTAACAATCCTATAAATAATTATCTCAGTTTTATGTCTTAAACCACAGCTGTAGTCAACAGGTATTTTACTAACTATAATGTGAAACATTTTAATGGTTAAATGAAGATTAAAGATGAAAATCTTAAAACATCTTAGGATAAAATCGTGACAGACCTTGTTTTATAAAATCTGTCACAGTGGTAGTTAGTTAATACAAAATACTAGTATTAACCCTTCTCATCCAGTTTTAGTTTATAACTTTATTATATTTTTTTTGTCCTTTGGGAAAAGTTGAATTAGTATATGAAAGCATTAATGTAGCTGTGTACTACAATAAGGACCCTGGTTTTACAAGCTGGCCATGGTTAGATGCCTGCATGTTTTTTGATTAACAGCCAGGCAGCCCCTCCATGGAAGAGGAACATTTACTTCTCCCCACCATCTCTCTGGTTACTGTTTTTCCCCTCTGTTTTTTTGGCGTGAAAAAAAAATCAGTCCTGATGGATAATAACCTGGATGCAAGCCAGCAGAACAGCCTTACAGCAAGGAAGGCCTGTATTGGTGTATTAGAAAGTGTGTAGTCATCAGGTTGAGGGAAGTGGCACTACATACCTGTTCAGTATTGGCAAGGCTGTGTTGGGAGAACAGTGTCCAGCTAGGACTTCCTGTTGACATTGGTGTACCAAAACAAGCCTGCTCAAAGTGCTTGTCAAAATGAGATGTGGAATGGAGCATGTGATGAAAGAGAAGCTGGGGGAGTGGGCTTACCTCATTCTGGAGAGGAGTCCTTCCTGCTGTCTGTTGCTATTTGATGGGCTGGAGAATATAGAAATACTACTCACAGCTGTGTAGTGCTTCCACATATTCCATTGTGAAAAGTCAGTAAGGGAAATCCTGATAAGCTATTAGGGGGAAAAAAAAAATACTGTGAGGTATTTCAGACATTGGAACAGGCTGTCCAGAAAGCTTGTGTCCTCTCCATCCTGAGAAAAACTGAAAACTCAATATGTCCCTGGGCAACCTGATCTATGTTTGCTCTGCAGTTGAGCTGGTAAAATAATCTTCAAGGTCCTTTCCAACCTGAATTATTGATTAGCCTGTTGTTAGTGAGGTGACAGCCCCTGTAATCCTCTGTTTATAAAAGCTTTTGGTCCAGCTTTCCTGTTCCAGGAGTGTTTATACCTGTTACAAACATCCCTCAGAGTTGATCTGGTGCTGTAGAGTGGTGTGTATGGGGATATCCTTCCTTACCTGTTCCTCTTCAGATTTCACACCTTTAATGGATTCTTTTTTTGGAGATGTAAGGTAAATCAAAACTAGTTTTGTGCTAAATAGTGCCTGAGTGTGTCTGTATCTGGGGGACTAGTGACTGCTGCTCTCATTTTACTGAGATTAAGCTCTTAACAGACATTTGTCTCTCTTGCCTGTGTCGGTAGTGCACCTGGTTATTTCATTAATAACAAACAGGAACATGCAAAATCAGCACATGATTGGATTTCTTCTTCCTAGGTCAAACTTCTGGATTTGCTCATGCCAAAATGCTTGTAACACTTCTTGTATTTGACTTTCAATATTCACAGCAATTGGAAGAAAAAAGTGAGGATGAAGAGGATAAAGAGTGCTTAAAGCAAGCAATAACTGCCCTACTAAATCTTCAAAGCAGTATGGAACGGATATGCTCCAAAAGTCTTGCAAAACGAAGGCTTAGGTAAACATGTTTCCATTTTTCCTGCTTTCTGCTCTTAATACTTTGCTATAAATGCAGCCCTCCCAGTTTCCTCTTTTAGTAAACAATGAACAAAATAGTTTGTGACAAGCCTGCTTTTTCAGAGGAAGTGATATCAAAGCCAAGATAATTTGTTATTGTTTTAAAACCATTCTGATTTCTATGTGTCCTTGCATACTGGTAGTTGAGATGTTCCGAGAATTCACTGGTAAGTAGAAAGTTACAGCATTTGTGGGTTAATTACATGCTTAGACAATAACTATCCACCTAAACATATTGTAAATATAAGTTTCTGTGTGATTAGAAGGGAATTTTCTTGAATTTGAAACTGTGTAATCTGAGGAGTTTTTTGTGCAATGCCTAGTTCAAATTACCACTGAATACTAGAAATATAGATAACTAGTACTTGGTTGCACTGTTGTAGCAAATTCTTTGATTATGCTATCTGCTGTTTGATTTAATGCTAATATTCGTGCAGTTAATATGTTAAAACATTACTTTTGCTCTTAAAAGTGTTTCAGTGTTTTCCTTGACAAACAATTTCTGTGCTGCAAAGTGCAATCTCGAGGCTCAGACATGATTGCATTTTACAATTTATTTTCTCAGAATGTGCTTCTTTCAAATTAATGCAGTCTAGAATTGTTTTGTCGGCTGTGGAAATGAGAGCTTTGTTAGAGTAAGAAGCACTAATGGCTTGCCCACTTCTGGTTGCCTCTATTTAGGTAAAATGTTTATTGCATAGAAGATAACTAGAAAATTTATCAGGTGAGGTACTTAAGAGAAACATTTGTTGAGGCTTGCAATGTGCTGTTATTGAGTGCGTTCTCAGTGGAATTCTCACCACTCAGAAAGATGATCTTGTGGTTTTGCTGTTAGTGGTGGTTGTGGTTTTCAAATACATGTATACTAATAGGCTGCCTTTCTCCCATCCTCCAATGAAGTGAATCTGCATGCCGATTCTATACTCAGCAGATGAAGGGAAAACAGCTAGCAATTAAGAAAATGAATGAAATCCAGAAAAATATTGATGGTTGGGAGGGTAAAGACATTGGACAATGCTGTAATGAGTTCATCATGGAAGGAACGCTCATGCGTGTAGGAGCAAAGCATGAGAGACACATCTTTCTATTTGATGGCTTGATGATTTGCTGTAAGTCAAATCACGGCCAGCCAAGACTTCCTGGTGCTAGCAATGCAGAATATCGCCTAAAAGAAAAGTTCTTCATGCGAAAGGTACAGATCAATGATAAAGATGACACTAATGAGTACAGACATGCTTTTGAAATCATCTTAAAAGATGAGAACAGTGTTGTTTTTGCTGCTAAATCAGCTGAAGAGAAGAACAACTGGATGGCAGCATTGATATCTTTGCAATATAGAAGCACTCTGGAAAGAATGTTGGATGTAACAATGTTGCAGGAAGAGAAAGAAGAGCAGATGAGATTTCCAAACCCTGAGCTTTACAGATTTGCAGAACCTGACTCTGAAGAGAATATTGTGTTTGAAGAAAACATGCAACCCAAATCTGGAATCCCCATCATCAAGGCAGGAACTGTTGTCAAGCTCATCGAGAGGTTGACTTACCATATGTATGCAGGTGAGGCACTTCATCTATATAGCCAAAACTCGAGGTGTTGATTAGTTTATGCTTCTCTTTCTGTATTAAATCCATGCAGCAAAATGTATAAAGTGTGTAGAAAGTGAATATGCTTTGCAGTACAACATGCTCTTTGTGTTAGGGTTTTGAGATCTAAATATACACCTGTGTAGCTGTGGCAGTTAGAAATATGAATCCCGTTTGGCTGAATGTGGTGGGATATGCATGTGAATAACATTATTCTCATGCAAGGGATGGGGGGTGAGGTCCTGCAGGAATTGAGCTCTAGACAATACTTTTTCCTGTATGCCCCAGGCTACAAGAATTGCTTTCAGTACTTCCAAAGTTGGGTGGCACATGAAGCACCAGCATTGCAGGAGAGAGTTATGGGCCCAGTATTTTCAGTTAAGAGTTGTATTCTGTTGACTGTTACCCATGTTTATGCTGGTGTGTAATGAAAAGACCAAATACCAGCTTGCTAGAAGCAGTCACTCACATAATTTGGCCTTGGAACTTCACCTTAAGCAGAAATTCAGTGAGGATTTGATTTAAGTTCTTTTGACTTTGGGTTTCTGTGTTGAATTACATCAGAGGCATTTATGTGATCATCCAGTCTGACCTCAGTGTGTGGAGTTTTCCTTAAATATTTCCCAGGATTTTCATAAACTGTGGTGAAAAGCATGGGCTTGGCTTTTGGGTTTGGACTTTTTTTAGTTATTTACTTGGTTCTACCTATATGATATTTATTCTAAAACTTCATGCATCTTGGTATTAGTGCTTCTCATATTCAACTGTAGATTGTTTTTTTCTTTCTTTTTACTTTTTACACTCTGGTTATCCTGAATTGTTCTTCTGCAGCTCAGTCCTCTATACCCTGCATAGACCAGGAATATTTGTTTGGAAGAAGTGGGGAGTAAGCAGAATATAATTAGTGTAATTTAGTACTCTTATTTATTTTTAAAATGCTTGTAAATACATCTGTTTACTCTAGTTCTTTTATTGCACTACTTCATATTTTCTTCAGTTGAGCTTTCCTAGAAACCAAAATGCAATATTGTACCCTCATTTTTTTACCTGAGCAGTTTTGTCCCTGTCTACATTTTTTTGTAACTTCATAAACTTTTAGCTCTTGGCTTCAAATTTTACAGGTATGATTTAGGACATAATTTAATGTTTTGGAAAGTTAAAATAAAACAATTCAGCCTTAGAGAAAGGAAGACTTTTTTTTTTACCTACCATGGTATTTGGCAGTGAATTAGGAAAAATGGTACTACATTAGTGCTCTTGTGAACATTTGCTTTGCTTTGGCTGACTTGCACACAATTAAGATTTGCCCTTTCCATGCATGCTGGGACATTGGTGCCATAGCCTTGGTGTTGCCCCAGGTGCTAGCAGTGCTCTCCACACATCATCTGTGTCCAGAAAGCCACAAACTACATTCTCCAGGTTCATAAAATACAAAGGTCTGTTTTTAAGGAACATGTGGCTTGTTGAAATATGTCTCTTGTTTTTTAGCATCTGCCTGTCTTTTTGGCCTTTCTAGTACTTAGGACCTGAAGGAGGAACTCCGATCAATTGATCAGATCCACCTTCATCCACAGTCATTTAAATCCCTGCTGTAACAGCCCCTATTTAATAATACTCTAAGTAGGTTGCTTGAAGCCTAACATTGTAGGTATGCATAACGTTGACCAAACTATTGTGCGAAAAAAAAATGAGAATGTGGGTACTGTGAGATAAGCCGAAAGTCTTTGACCAAAAGAATAAAAGCGGTTGTCTTGTCATGTGTTTAGCCTATCTTTGTAGCCTTAAATATCTTAGTGCAACATACATGGACCTGATCTGAATTGATAGGTTGCACATTATTTCTCAACACCCTTATCTTTCATTCTGTGCCTTCTGTTTTAGGATTGGTTTTTTATGAGGAAAAATGTAATCTTTTTAACCATTCATGCTGTTTTTTCCAGGAGGACAAAGAAATAGAGTGACTCAGCCAAAAATGGTCTGTTGTACGGGAAACAAGGTCCATTTACTATGTAAATCATTCAGTCTTTTGTTGCATTTTATGAGATACAGTGAGCAGGGCAACAGTTTTCCATAATTTATTTTATACACATATCAGCTGAGCTCAGGGCTTGGAGATGTGGAAAGATGAGTACTCCGGTGATATCTAACTGAATAACTACAGTCTGTAGAAATGCTTTTCTTGCCCCATGTAGGACATGTGTGATTGTAATCTTAAAAGAATTTTCTGACTTTACATTCATTGCCCAAATAGCAAGCCCTTACTTTTTTGAGGCGGCTTTTCTCAAATGTAGCGTGACTAGTTATGTCTAAGGACAGTATTTACCATATCTCTTACCGTGACTTTCCTCTAGATTTTTCTAGTACTGTAAGGAATAATTACAGATGTAATGGCAGAGGTGGTGCCAATTTGCTGAAAGTAGCTGAAGAGCAGTTTATTTAGTTGCATATTGAGTATATGGGCTGTGTTCAGACAGCAGTCAAATCAGATCTCAACTTTTTTCTTGTCTGTGAAGATCCACATAGTCTTATCTCATTTGTAGATATGAGTGTTGGACCTTATTTTTCTTTCCTCACCTCCCTGACAATGCACAAACTAACATGAGGTGAAATATTTCTCTGTTTTGCTGTGGAACAGAGACAGCCCAGTAGCCTAGCTCTTAATGAAGCAGCAATGCCAGGGCTCAGAGGCATCCAGCCACTTCGAGAGCTTGGACAGGGAGACAGCCCTGACAGCCACCTGGCCGCAAGGTACAGCGCTGTCCAAACCATCCTTTGGTGGAGCAGAAAAACAGGGAGAAATGTCCTCTGCAAAAGCAGCTTTATATTTTTACACGATGGAAACTGCCCTTTGATAAAAATTCAGGTTCTGACTCTGTTTGCATGTTCTGGTGGGTTTTACTTGTTTTAATGTGTTTCTGTGTTCATTATCTCCTCCTTTGCCTAATTCTTGTTTAAGAGCAGCCAGATTAGGTGATACCCAGATTTGAAAGTCGTGGCAATTTTTTTTTCCTATAGGGCAGTGCTCTTCTATTTTTAAAGCTTTGATATGGTAAGAGTGCTTGTGCGTCATCATAGTGTCCGTTTCCTTTCTTAAGGAATTCAAGGGTGTTTATTTATAAATCCTTGTAGAACAAGTTATTGTTCTTTTTTAGCTTTCAAATTGGCTGTATTGAAGAGAGAATTATCACATGAGCAGACATCCTGACTAGGTAGTGTTGTCTGTATCTGGTTTTTTTTGCTTGCTCAAATATTGTAAAATATTTTGAGTTACAGATTTTGCTAGTAAGATAACAAGGTTGGATTAGATTTTCTGATCCCCTTCATTTGAAATTCAATATGTATTGTGGATTTAAACACTGACCCTACCTGTTAATAACAATAGCTATGACTCAGAGCTTGCAGTGATCTGAAGATGTTAATTGCTATGGAGTCTTTCATGTAGACCAAATCTATTTAGGGTGGATGCTGTGTACAGAATGCAGACTGTGAAAACATGAGGTTTTGTGCTTACTTCTATACTTGGTTTTTAGGACAACAAAAATTGTGTATTTTCACGTTGAGGATGATGGGGATAGGGATGACATTCTTCGTGCAAAAGGATTTGAGCTTTGCCATTGAAAAGGATTTTAGACTGTACAGTTTCAAGGAGAGGTGGGAGAGGTGTTATGATAAGAAAAACAGAGCAATGAAGGACGTAGAGATGGTAAAGCAGAATAGGCAGTTGTTTAAGCATCGGGAATTGTCATACAACAGAATTGCAAGGAAATGCTGTGTTACACAACACACAGTTAATCAGTGCAATGCATTACAGTAAACTGTTGCCCAAGTGAAGACCTTAGTAGGATATAAGAAAGGTAAAATGTTCATTCAGATGGACAAGATGCTGGTAAATAGTTAAGAAGGATTTTTAAAAAGCTCTTAAAAACCCATATTCCAGGAAACAAGTCTAATTGCTTAATATAGTGTTAGGCCAAATAATGCAGGCATTTATTTTTTTTACTTCATTACAGCCTGTAGGAACTCCTGCTTCAAGTCCTGTGTGCTATGCTTCGGTCACGCTGTGTTAGAAAAATTACAATTTGGGATTTGTTTTTAAAATCTGTATATGGATTTAATATACAAAACCACTGCAACCTGCTCGTTAATTTTGTTCTGTGATAACAATGTTAAACTTGTTTCTAGTCAGCTCTGTGCAGTGCCAGCATGCTATCACTGCTTTCCTCATACTTGAAAACAAGTGGGTTTGCTTTTGTAATTAAGGGAGACACTTTGGTTTTCTGTTTTGAATACTACTTTGTTTTAAAGCACATTTGGATATTTTCAACGAACTTATCTATAATTAGTCAAATTAAATCTGTTGATTTTCTTTTAAGTTAAATAAATATAACCTCAAAGTATAGCTGTCAGTTGAAATAATATCTACCCTGCCTTAAGCGTGACTGGTTATCAGTTGTACCAGTTTAAGGGAAAATATTCTCCTCTAGAAGACATTTCTATCCATGCAAAGTTACTTAAATGTCTTTTGAGTTATCTTGTCCTGATCATTGTCAAAACCAGTTTTTTACTAGAATGCTCATAAATAACATAATCTGTTTATTATTTTCAAAGCTGTTGAAAAAGAATCCAGTCTTTTAATAATTCAAGGGAAATGAAGTTATTGTTTTGAATTTTCAACAGAATAAAAATTGGTTTTAAATTCTACTTTGTATTACTATTTTAAGAGCAGTGATGGCTTTAAGAGCAATTTTGGTTTACATCATCTTCTCTGTAAATAGATAAGTAGCACCCTTAATTTCAAAGGATACTTAAAGTTATTTTAAAGTATAAAAATATTATGTAATTGCTGACATGAGCATGAAATTATTCTTTGTCTTAGATCCCAACTTTGTTCGGACTTTTCTCACAACATATAGATCCTTCTGTAAATCTCAAGAGTTGCTGAGTCTGCTAATAGAAAGGTATGCCACTGTTATTAAATTTACACTTTGTATGGACAGTAATTTTTTTTTTCTTTTTTAAAAATTTTTACTTGCAGTCGAGTTTGTAAGATACTCATTTTCTGGTTGTTTTTTTATTCACTCCAAACACTTTTTAAAAAGTGTTCAAATTCAAGGATTGCAAGTAAAATGTGCAAGTTATATCCAGAAGCTTTAAGGTTATTCTGGTAGCTCCAGTGACTTCCAGCATTTCATGGTTTTGTCTTTGAAATCTATATTATTACTGAATTTAGCAGATCTTCCTATGTGCTTACCAAGACATAAGATTCTGACATGTGGAAGTGTTCTAAATTTTAAGCTATCTTTAAAAACATTTTATTTGTGCATGCTGGGAGCAAGATTAATGTAATAGGAGCCTAGTGCTTATACCTATCTTCTGTGCTAGGTTTGAAATTCCAGAGCCTGAGCCAACAGAAGCTGATCGTATGGCTATGGAGAATGGAGACCAGCCTCTTAGTGCAGAGTTAAAAAGATTTAGGAAAGAGTACATTCAGCCTGTGCAGCTACGGTGAGTATTGCATCAGTTGAGCCAAACTGAGTTAAGTCTTTTGAAGTACCATCTTTTGGATGCAGTGGCTCTTTGTGATGCCAGCAGCCTTTCTTGTAGGTGCATTGATAGAGAGCGTGCATGGGCAGTCAGCCATTTTGACTTTGCTGCTTGCAAACCTGGTGGAAATTTGAGTTTGTGACATGAAAAGCCTTGGGAAAGGCTTGTGCTGAGTTTTAGACTATTAGAGTACAAATTAGTTTCTTACACTTGCCTTTTTTTTTTTTTAAATCTATGTTTCTGCAAGGCTATATAGCATGTGTGCCACAAAGATGTAGACAGAGAACATTTTAAATAAAGTTCTTTTTATGTACAATAGCATTACTCTGAGTTCTTTAAATTTAAGGTAGAAAAATTATTATAGCTGGTTGCTGGTGAAATGCAGACAGTAATCGCATTTGGTCTGCTGATTCTGATATTCCTGTGAGCCCTCACCCACTAAAAGCCTTCAAATGCTTGACATGAAGACAGACTGTATTGTAGAGTGCTTACTTACCCTTTACTTTTGTAGAGTATTAAATGTATGTCGACACTGGGTAGAACACCACTTCTATGACTTTGAAAGAGATGCTGATCTTCTACAACGTTTGGAGGAATTCATTGGAACAGTAAGAGGTACTTACAGCTGGCATTTATCATAAAGCATCCCCTTTCAAAGGTATTGAATGGGATCACCTTTCCTTTCACTGAGCAGATAAACAGGACTGAACGCTTATTAAATACTTCACAAAGAACATAAAATAAACCTTAATTCTAAAAAATAACCCCAGTAGTATTCAAAGTCTGTCCCCTGTTCAGAAGAATGAATGTTATTTACATCCTGATAAATAAGTACTGGATTTGTTATAAAGGAACTGAAATAATGCAAAATACTAAGAACTGAGTAATGATCAGGACAGAATAATTGCTTTGATTATCCTCTTAAACTATACACAGGCATAGTTTTTTTAAAAGTCTGATGGTGGAAACCACTATTTCTTTGAATCAAGGGGTTTCACAGTGCATATTAGACCTGTAGGACACCTTCCAGGTGGGATTGTACAGATCTTTGCTGTGCCCTTGTAAGGAAAACTGAGACAGCTACAGGAGCAGTTTGTAGGAAGATACTATGTTAGAGAAGTATTTAATGATTATTTAGCAATTAAAAAGAGGGAGAGAATGAGTCAGCTAGTTTAATGTGAATTACTGGTAAATTTTCAGTGGACTTGCCATCTCATGCATGAGGTTGTTCTTATGGTATAGAGCTAAACAGGCATTTGGCCTTTGGGTTTTATTCTGAACTTTGATGCTAAATGCAGTAGAGGGAGAAGCTTCTCCCTGTTTATTGTTTTGCCCTTCTATGTTATCTTAGTTAAGCATCTACTCTTGCCCTAAGTTCAGGGTGCTTACAGAAGTTCATTTTGGGCAAAGAAGGTTAGTTCTCATAAACTTATTTTAAAGTCAGAAAAGAAAGGAAAACACCTGATTCAGAGCAGAAGCCTAATTAGGGTCTTCTGAATTGTGCTTGGGCAAATTTGGTGTGCTCAGCATTGGCTGTTGAGGAATTCTTCGTATGTTCAAAAGCTTTAAGACTCATGTGAAAACACCGCTAACACGCTTCTAAAGAATATATGATTGCTTTAATTTATTAGGTTTTGGGTTTAAATCTAGAGTTTTTAAAATTATACTGACCTCTTTGGGAAAACAGTATTAAGAGTAAATAAATAGTAATTTTCTTTGTGTGCCAGGCAAAGCAATGAAGAAATGGGTTGAGTCTATCACAAAGATAATCAACCGTAAAAAGCAGGCACAAGCCATTGGATCAAGTCACAACATTACTTTTGAGAGCCCACCTCCGGCGATTGAATGGCACATAAGCAAACCAGGACACACAGAGACTTTTGACTTGCTCACTTTGCATCCAATAGAAATTGCTCGACAGCTCACTTTACTTGAGTCAGATTTTTACAGGTAACTTTCCTCCATTGAAAAACACATGACACAAACCAAAATATTCTCCAGCATGAAATTGTTTCTGCGGGCCCCTGCTGTGAAGCCCCACGGTAGGTCAAGGGACTTTACCAGTGCTGTATATTAATTGCTGTTTTTTCAGAAAAAAATTCTAAAAAACAGTATTTGTCTTATCCTCCCCAAGTTAACGTGCAGTACCTTTGACTGATGCATACTGTTAATTGCATTGTGCTGCAGGTTTGTCTTGATATTTTCCAAGTAGATCAACCTTTGAGGGGTATGAACATGAATTAAATCAGTTTTCTTCATATCCTAGTTTGTGAAGCAAATTGTGGACCATGTCAAATCTCACCAGCTGTCCGTGAGAGGTTGTTCAGGCACTGGAAGCTTGCATTTTTTTATGGTGAATGAGATGCAGATTTCATTTTTCATTTAGATGAATAGAGATGGTTAATTGTCACATAAATTAAGAAATCTTTACTAAAAACGTGTAGAAATACCAGTCAGTTACGTGGGGATCAAGTGACTTAAGAATTTATTTCCTAATACCAATTCCAAATTCACTGGAAATAAAGAGGCTTTGAGAAAATAATATGTTCTTTCCTGCTTTTAATTACTTTTTTTTCATACTTTTCTAGAGCTGTGCAGCCATCTGAACTAGTTGGAAGTGTGTGGACAAAGGAAGATAAAGAAATTAATTCTCCCAACCTTCTCAAAATGATAAGGCATACAACTAACCTCACTTTGTGGTTTGAAAAGTAAGTTACTTTTCTGAATCCGTACCTACTCCCATTTCTGGACGTATACAGTCTTTTCAGAAATGTGAAAAACTGTGAAAAATTCTGTTCTGGGAGAATTCCACTTCTAAGTCATGTTAAATGATACAGCTGGTCCTGGTGACAATTTTACCATAATGGTCTTAGCTTTTTATTCTTAGAATAATGTTTATTCTCTAAATATTTTCAAAACTATGTCGAATAATTTGATAAACTTTTCATATGTGTGTAACGACTTAATATATGATTTTGGAAAACTCATCAACGCTTTAATACAAAATCAAATGTTCTTGTTTATTTAGATGCATTGTAGAAACAGAAAACCTAGAGGAAAGAGTAATTGTAGTGAGCCGAATAATTGAGATCCTGCAAGTTTTTCAAGAGCTAAACAACTTTAATGGTGTCCTTGAGATTGTCAGTGCTATGAACTCCGCAGCAGTGTATAGGTTGGATCACACATTTGAGGTACAGTGTAATATTTTCCATTTTTGGTACAGAAATGCACCTTAGCTACACTAAAGCCTATTTTTTTCAGTAAGCATGTCCTTCAGAGGAGGATCAAAGAAGGTAAACCCCCCAACAAATGAATCAATTGGGCTGTAATAGAGAGATTATTAATAGAGAATAATTTCTCAGTTACAAAAGCAGGAAATCAATCCTCACTTAATGACAGGAAAAGGTAGCAAGATCCTGAGATGGTGAAACACTGTTGTCATGGTCACTGACTTAAATATCAGTGGGAGACCATTGCTCTCAGTATTGTTGCTGGGCTACACCTTTACCCTATCTTTCCAAACAACCTGTTTCACCTCTCATTTTAGCAAATTCCAAGTCGCCAGAAGAAGATTTTAGAAGAAGCTTATGAGCTGAGTGAGGATCATTATAAGAAATACTTGGCAAAACTCAGGTCCATTAATCCTCCTTGTGTGCCTTTTTTTGGTAAGTACATTTGATTTGAATGGGCAATATCATACATAAACATTAGGCAAGTATTGAGCTATGGCACTAAACAGAATATGAACAACAGTGAGAAGTGAGTTTTAACAGGACATTTGGGTTTGACTTTCAGGTGCCCAGACGTTAATTGCAGTGACTACTAATTATAGATGTTATTTGTGGTAAAAATAAGTATATCTGTGATACCTTGTTTACACATTTACTCATTTTTACTTTGAATGTAGTTTGAACTGTGTTGTGACCATAAATGGAAGGCAGTCACAGAAATATTATTGCTATTGACTACTAGAGAGGACTCCCTTCTCCACTGAAAATTCCAAGAATTAAAGCTAGTGTTTCAATTTTTATAGTTTCTTATAACTAGAGTATTATTTCTTTTTAAAAAATCTTCTGTAAAAACCAGTTTTGGGAAGAAAGACTGCTCTTTATCGTCAGACTTAACAGTTCTTTTAAGTAGATTGCTCAGAATTTCTGATGAAATTGTGAAGCGAATTATATAGTTAAGCACATGACGTTCCTGTTCTTTAGCAAGCTACTTGGATGTTTGCTGCAGATCAGTTCCAACTCTGGACGTTATACTTGTCCAGCATAGGCTTCAGGCCAAAGCTGAAAGAAAGTACTGTTGATGGCTTTTTTGGCCTTTTACAGATTGGGGAAAAGATATACTCCAGAGCTCTGCAAAGAAAGCTAAGATCAACTAAGAAACCTTCTGTCCTGCTTCAGAGATGAGTAGAGGTTAGCAGGATCACACATTAATAGCTCTAGTTATTTCTCTTGATTTATACTTGAAAGAATCATAATCACAGTTCCAGATATGTTATGTCTGGACTTGAGAGCGCTCTTTTCTTTCTAATCTTCAAATGATTTGATGCAGTTATGAAGCCAGGAGTGGAAAGTGAAACAGAAGAATAAAATCTGAAAATAATTTTTTAGAGCTTAGCTGGGGTCTCTAATGGAGCTGAATTGAAGCAGAACACTTCAGAGAAAGCATTTGAGTTCAGTGTACTCATGTCTTGCAAAATGCTGTTAGTGTTCAGTTGTGTGAGCTTCCTAAACAATAGAGAGATGCATAGACTTTGAGATTTTGATGCAAAAAAGGCAACTTTCTGGGAAAGGCATATTAAAATATTTAAATTGTTGCCCTTATTTGAAAATTAGGCATGATTCTGTTATTGACCCTAACGGCGAATTTTTCTCAATAATTAAAGGGCACAAATTAAATTCTTTAAGAATTCTTTGTGTTCCAGTCATGTGACTTCCTCTTCATTTCGTACTATATTTTGAGAACCTATTCTGTGTGCTCTTTAGGGATTTACTTAACTAACATTTTGAAAACAGAAGAAGGCAACCCTGAATTTCTAAAGCGACATGGGAAAGAACTTATAAACTTCAGCAAGAGAAGAAAGGTAGCTGAAATAACAGGAGAGATACAGCAGTACCAGAACCAGCCATACTGTTTAAGAGTGGAATTTGACATCAGGGTATGTGGCATTATTTCATTATGTCCATGCACTGAGCTACCTTTGTGGTGACTGTCAGCTGATAGACCATAAGGATAGACTGAATTCATATAGATGCAAATCAGACTGAATCAGAGATGAGGAGAAGGCCTGTCATAAAATCTCTCTCAGATCTCACTGTAAGAAAGAGAAGAAAGCTCAGTGCTTGAAGTTTGGTGGGGTTTGGGTGCTAGATTTTTTTTTTCCCCAGGTATTGGGATGTTGGTAGATAGATCTTCTTACTGAACAGTGTTAAATCCTTAGTCTGTGGTATTCTCTAAGCAGTCCTCTCTGTTTTCTCTGTTTGCTTTCCTTTCTTCCTTTTTTTGTTTTATAAAATATGTTCTGACCTGTATACTTTCAGAGAGTCATAGGATAGGTTATCTTAAGAGATGCTGCAAGATTTTCTTTTGTTATTTGTTCTCCTCAGGGCTTGACAATGCACTGTGAGAGCAGTCTTCGCTGCATCAGTGTAAAGATAGACTACATACAGATGCTTCTAAAGGTGTTTGAGCTAACCTGGTCTGATTTTTGCACTGCAGAAAGTATTTAGGGTACAGTTGGTTTTCAAGCCAAGCGTAGCAGTAGCAATGCCCAGCAACAAGCAGATTTAATAACTTTTTAAAAAATCTATCATTGCTTCTGACTCCAGCATTTTCTCTCTTCTCTGGAACAGTTCGATTGTTTTTGCAGTAGAAACAAACAGTACTAAGCTTCTGAAAAGTAGCTTACCTGACAAGTTTTCTACCTTCTTGTATTTCAGAAATTTTTTGAAAACTTGAATCCAATGGGAAACAGCATGGAGACAGAATTTACAGATTATCTGTTCAACAAGTCACTAGAGATAGAGCCACGAAATGTCAAGCCTCCACCAAGATTTGTTAGTATTCAATTTTTTTTTTTTTTTTTCAGAAAACTCCTACATTTGTCTTTCACAGATACCGAAGTCATTTTAGATCTCTTAACTTCATAAATCCAAAGCTACATTTAGGTCATCTTGTGGCCTTTTGATTTTGTTTGATACTGTCTTTTTTGTCATTTCAGCCAAAAAAATACAGCTATCCTCTCAAGTCCCCAGGTGTTCGTCCCTCTAATCCAAGGCCAGGTACCATGAGACATCCCACACCCCTGCAACAGGAGCCAAGGAAGATTAGTTACAGCCGCATCCCAGAGAGTGAGACTGAAACTACAGCATCTGCACCAAACTCTCCCCGAACGCCTTTGACACCCCCCCCTCCTTCTGCTACTTCAAGTACTACAGATGCCTGCAGTGTGTTTGACTCAGATCCTTCAAGTCCTTTTCATGCAAGTAGGTGCTAATAGATAGTCTACCAGGAATGTGCATATTAGTTTTTGCAGTGTCAAACGGGTGAAATCATGTTTAGTTTTCTGAAGTGACTATAGAAATAGTTGCTTTTGTCTACTTGCAGCAGCAAAAACTTCCAGTGTGTTTTACTCCTTTTTTTTTTTTTTTACAACTGAACAGAATTAGGTGTGTTACATAGAGAGTATTACATGTCTTTGAAGAAACTGTCAAAACAGAAGGCAGAAATATATCTCTAGCACCCATATATGGGATTTGCTGCCATATATATATATGTGGTGAATGTCTTTGGTGAGTATCTGATGGTGAGCAATGAGAATAAAAACAGATGTCTTGTGGGTGCTTTATTCTGCTGTCTGCCATTCCAAATTGGTTTCAGTGCACATGGATAGTTTTCCTGCAGGACTCTAAAATTGGTATTTTCTTGCTTTAAATCCATCAGGACCCATTCACACCTGTTTTTCTTCTGTCTTCACCAACATACAAACAAAAGTTCGTATTTTATGGGGTGCTTCGAGTAATTAATAGTGGACATAGCCTCCTTTCATGTATGAGGGCTTTCAGAGGAAGTAAAAGGTTAGTCCTGTGTTCAGCTGGTTGTCACAAGAGGTGAAATGACTTGCTAAAAACAAAGTTGCTTAGCAGAGCAGTGACACTACTGAGTGTCCAAGCCAGGTCTCTGGAATACCTCTTCAGAAGATGATGTTTCTTCATTGCTGAGTCAGCCATCGACTGCAGGTTCAGGATATTGTTTTAGTGCTGTTGTGATACAGGAACAACTTTGTGGTGTGGTTTTTGGTCTCAAGGATTACTTAAGAATGTGCAGGAACTGATGGCCACAGAGATGACTGCAGCTCAGAAAATGAGTTTGGAAGCTGCAAGTTAGAGGGTTGTGTTGTTGTCTTTCTTTAACACCTTCGTGATTTGTGCTGCTTTTTACGAGCAATTACTTTATTATTTATGACACCCTATATTTCATTTATTGCTGTCAATACACCGAGTCGAACAAAAGTTCGTCATTATCAGGATTTTTTTTTTTGCTAGGATCTGCTTCTGTGTCATCCATAAACTTTACCAAATCTTCAGATGAAGCTCATGTCCCTCCTCCAGTTCCTCCACGAAGGCGACCAGAGTCTGCCCCAGCTGAATCCTCCCCATCAAAAGTAAGGAAGGGGAAAAGAGGGCATTTTCTCTGGGAGCAGAGGGCACGGTATGATAGAAAAGTAACTCTTAAAGATAGTACATATATGTGAAAGAGTAAGCAGCCATGTATTTCAAACCTTCATAGCTCTGCCTTATTGTGTCCTGATCCAAAAAAAAATTAAAATTAACAGATGGAATTTAAATTTAGGGTTAGAAATGTCTCTTGTCTACTGATCCGCTATGCTCAGGCCCTCACATTGCCTGTGAGAACATGAGGCCTCAGGCAGATGTTTCCATCTGCAATAACTGTCCCAGAATATCATTTTGGTTGTATGAGTGGGGGTACAGAACTGAAGAATAGTAATGTTGTAAAGTGATGTACACGCTCAGTCCTCTGATAAGGTTCATTAGATTATTTGGTCGTGATGCTGTGATGCTCAGTGCTTTCTTTCCCTTCTTGATTACCTGTCTTGTCTGACTGCCTGCTTGAGCCATTGCTACATTTTTCTTTTGCAGTTGTCTGGCATTTGGGATCTGATCCAGCCTTTGTTGCAGGCAGTGTCAAATGTCTCTTGATTTCAGTGGGAGCTGGGTTTTCTTGATTTCAGAGGATTGGGTGGATTTGAAAATCCCACTCAAAATTATTTTGGAGTGCATGTGTCTTTGAAGAGGGCTTGTGTATGGCTCTTCAGCAAGTTGTTGTTCTCAGACTACAGGTGACTATGCCATCAGCCAGCATCACGCTCCTACCAAAATATAATTGAAATCATCGTATACATGATAGGGTGTTGGAGACCAAATGCCCTGTCACTTTGGTCTGTAGCGTGGGAACTGTTCACTTCAATAATTCTGAGTACTTAATTCCATCTTCTGTGTGTAGGGGGTTTTTTACCCTGTTCAGCATCATCTGCCTCTCCCCTTTTCCTCATTTTCTTGGAGGAATATCTGGTGTATTCCCCCCCCCCCGCCAAGTGCTTGTTAGTGGGGAAGTGGTAGAAGATACCCAGACTTACCCAGCAAGAAGACTGGAACTGGGATGGAAATTGTTGCTTTGACCATTCTTTGCCTTCCCTTTGTCCCTCTCTGTGCATCTCCATTCCTTCAATACTTGGCTCTTAACTCCTGTATTGATATACCTTTACTCTCCCCCTGCACATCCAGTCTCTCTTTTCTGTCTGCATCACTCTGAGAAACATAGTTTTCAGGCACCACCACTTCCTTTTGCTTCCTTACTCTCCCCATCTTCATTCTGCACTCACTTGCTGTGCCTCCTCTTTAACTGGATAACAGCTGTCTGCAGGACTTCTGCTTCCATTTCACAGCAGGGTCCTGTTCTTTATTGCCACTCTAAAATTTTTTTTAATTAAATGTTTGTCTACCTCAGATTACTTCTGCGCACCTGGACAGCCCACCAGCAATCCCTCCTAGGCAACCAACCTCTAAAGTGTATTCACCAAGGTACTCAGTGCCTGACCGGACCTGCATCTCTGACCCCCCTGAAAGCCCTCCTGTGTTACCACCACGAGAACCTGTGCGAACTCCAGATGTTTTCTCTAGCTCACCACTACACCTTCAACCTCCACCACTGGGGAGAAAAAGTGAACTTGGTAACACCTTTTTCCCAAACAGTCCATCTCCATTTACTCCCCCTCCCCCTCAGACACCATCTCCACATGTAACACGGAGGCATCTTCCATCACCACCTTTGATACCGCAAGATGTGGACCTCCATTCTGTTGCTGGACCACCTGTTCCTCCACGACAAAGCACTTCTCAACATATCCCAAAGCTTCCTCCAAAAACTTATAAAAGGGAGCCCGCACACCCATCAATGCATCGAGATGGACCACCATTGCTGGAGAATGCCCATTCCTCCTGAACTGTCCCTTGTGCCAGGAGTTGCATTTTCCTGGTGCTACGTCTGTTGCTGGCAATGGATGCACTGAACCTGGTGGTGCCAAGGAGTTGGAATGTTATGCCAAACACTAAAAACTCTCTAATAGATTGGAAATGCAGTGTACAGAAATGGAATTGCAAAGAAAGATGTTCTAGTGGAAAAACTGGTTAACTTTCTATTCTTGTTTTAGTATGCAGGACATTGTTCTAAAGTAATTGGACAATTGATTGTACCAGAAAACAGATTTGAGAGACTTCTTTGGCCAATGAGCAGAGACTGTGTTTGTGTAATGATAAATAATGTCCAGTACAGGAAGAAAAACAGTCTTGTATCCATCAGTTCCATACAGTGGCACAGTTCTTGGAATGAAAACGTTATGCACTTTTTAAAATCTCAAACAGGGAACTTTATATCCTTGATTTTCCTTTGGTTTACTCCCTGCTTTAAAATACCTTCCTAAATTATGAGAAGGACTGTGAGGAAGATCTGTGGTACCTAACTGAGCTAGAATTAAGGCAAAGCACTGTATTGCGGTCCTGTTTACAAGTTGTTACAATGAGTAGTAGGGGGTACCTAGGCTTCACCAAAGAGGTACTTTATTATTATTTTCTGAAATACTATGGTGCCAGTTCAAAAATAAATTTTTGCCAGGAAGCATAATGTCTAATTATTGCTTTCTTTAGATAGAGCAGATGAAAGTCTTATATCGTGAAGATTATGGCAAATTTTTTTTATAATAAAAAGCAGCACTATCATCTGAAGTAAATGTACTACTACATTTAGAAGACTGTTAATCTCTGCTAGGTTATGTCACATTCTTTTTAAGGTTTACTGATAATCCATTTCATGGCTAGTAGCTATTCTTTTTCAGTCATGCCATAAAAACAGCCACTTGGGAAAGGGAGCACTCACTGGTCAACTTCCATACCTGTTGTCATGTTTTACTAACAATAGATTAATCAGTGTAGAATTGCCTTGCAGTTGCATAAATCGTGTATATAGTGAATGTTGCATAAATATAGTTGCAGATTGTTTTTAATTTAATTGAAATAAAGCTACAGATATGTTTGGCTGACATATGTTAATATAACATGGACAAGTGTACAACTCAGTTTTTCAGTTAAGCCCTGAAGGGGATAAAGCACATGTTGTGGTACATATTTTTCCTAGTTCAGTGTATGTATTTTAGTAATGAGTCTAAAGAGAAGTCAGTTTTGGCATGTGTTACAAAGTAATAATTTAGGAATATTTGAGCTGGTTTACTCCCAAAGTGAGTTACTATATATTATAAAACTTCTCACACCTCCTGTATGACACTTGTTAGAAAAATTCAAACTTGCATTAATCTTTACAGTAGCTTTCTATGTCCAAAATACACATGTATGGGTATAAGTATCATGATATGGATTATCTATAAACCTGTGTACGGCTCTTCAACTCCAGACAATACTGTGACAGTAATGCATGGCAGTTACAGAAGAAAAGAAGCTCTATAATCTCCACTATAATATGTATGTGAAGCGTAAAGAATCTCATCTTCAGTTAACATGGATCAGAGTAAAATTCTATCACATTTCCTCTTTGCAAGAAGGATACATTTCAGCGTCTTAGAAAGCTGTGTCATTAGAGATGGTGTTAGTCAAATGATGGTGGAAGTCACCTTTCTTAATGCTTTCTGCAATGCCATTCGTTAGTGTCCCTTGATCTTTTAGTGTGGTCATTACATTTCAGAAAGTGTTCTGATTTCATCATCGAGAGCAGCAGTTTTCATTGCAGTCAAGTGTTGAAATGTGTCAATTGTTTTGCTTCTTTGATGTCTTTAACAGCATTGTTTTGAAATATTTTCCTGGCAAAAGAAGAAAAAGTAAAGATCTCTAAAACTTGGCTTCAGAGGAAAACATTATGCGGGAGATTTGTAAAAACCCTCAAGCTACAGGAGATGTAGTTTAGGTTATCAGTTCTTTGGATATAAATACTGTTGGCAATGTCATCTAAATTATTAGCTCATGAGTGGATTACCAGGGAAAACTCCTTAAATTTAGACTTTCTGATCTGTATCTCTTCTTCTGTATGCTCTTGTCTGTGCTATTTTGCAGCCAAGGCAGACCAGACAGAAGGAATGATCCAGTGGTTAGGTTACTCAGCTAGAAGGAAAGACTTCACATGGATCCTCTTAATCAACAGATTTCTTGAATGTCAATGGGTCTCTGTTTCCCTTTGTGAAATGGAGAATGCTTTTTCGCACCTCTGTGGTTGAAAATAAAAGTGCTTTACTGTTGACTTACTCGGACAACAGGTGATAATGGTCACTGTGTGAGAACCTAACTTAAATGTGCTTTGGAGCCCAGCAGAATGGGTCAGTCATACATTGCACAAATCATGGTATTGACTCAGCTACAAAGAGGAAAAACAGGGTGAGAGTCAAACCTGTTGCATTTAGAATAGGATTTTTGAGTAAAACTGCTAAGCCACTGATTTGTCTAAGACAGCTTTATTTGCATTAGTAGTTATTTTATCTGGAATTACTTCTTACTTGGACAATGTTTGCATTAGTGACAATACTTTTCACATAAAAAATTAAATCATTTTAATGATGCTATCTGTCTCCTTGGTAAAATGACCCTGGATGGTCTGGTATGGCATGGGATGGTGATGTGGCCTGGACAATGAGACATGCTTCTGTGGAGGCTAGGTGAGTTGCTGTATTACTCTAGAGTGCTGATGTATGGCTAAAAGTCAGCCTAAGTAACTGCAAACTGTAGGCAGGGTTATAAAGGTCAGCAAAACTTTATAGTTGCACTACTTAACAATTTGTGCTGTTTCACCTCAAGGTTTCTACTTTATATATAATCTAGTGCAACAGTGGTGTATAACCTGGGTTTGTTAATTTTCTTCCAGAGTTGCATGGTTGTGTGTTAGCTCAGAAAAGCCCTCTGGAAATTTGGAAGCACTAGGATTCCGAGTGCAAGGTCCTGCACCTGGATCAGGGCAGGCTGAGGGATGAAGGAGTTGAAAGCAGTCCTGTGGAGAAGGACTTGGGGGTACTGACAGTGAGCTGGCAATGTGCACTCTCAGCCCAGAAAGCCAACTACATTCTGGGCTGCATCAAAAGCAGTGTCGCCAGCAGGTCAAGGGAAATGATTCTGCCCCTGCACTCTGCTCTGGTCAGACCCCACCTGGAGTGCTGTGTCCAGCTCTGGAGCCCTCAGCACAGAAAGATATGGACCTGTTAGAGTGGATCCAGAGGAGGCCATGAAAATGATCAGAGGGATGGAACACCTCTCCTGTGAGAACAGGCTGAGAGAGTTGGGGTTGTCAAGCCTGGAGAAGAGAAGGCTCTGGGGACATCTTACAGTGGTCTCCCAGTACTTAAAGGGGGATGCAGGAAAGCTGGGGAGGGACTCTTTTATCAGGGAGTGTAGGTGTAGGAAGAGGGGTAATGGTTTTAAACTGAAAGAGGGTAGATTTAGATCCGGGTTAAGGAAAAATTCTTCACTGTGAGGGTGGTGAGACACTGGCATGGGTTGCCCAGAGGAGCTGTGGCTGCCCCCTCCCTGGAAGTGTTCAAGGCCAGGTTGGACGGGGCTTTGAGCAACCTGGTCTAGTGGAAGGTGTCCTTGCTCATTGCAGAGGGGGTTGAACTAGATCCCTTCCAACACAAACCATTCTATGATGATGTGATTTTGCGAGTGCCATCATGCATTTACTTCTGTCCAGCATGCTGTATGGGAAGTCAGCTGTAGTTCTGCCTGTTGACCCCAAAGTACATGCTGTTGTCATGACATTCAGCAGCCCCTGCAAAGTTTTTCTATAACTGTTTGCTAACGGCGAATATTATCCTACTTCCAGGATCAGTACTGTAGAAGCATTTGAGTGCTCCATCCTCAGGAAGCCATCTCCAGTGTAGGCTAACTTGTTGCTCCAATATGCCCCTCTCTTAAATCAGGGAGGGAAAGCTCTGTCTCAGAAAGAGTAGGTTTATGCTAATACACTGGATTTAGATCCTTCAAGATTGAGATTGACGTCATGGGATGTTTAATTATTTTTCTTTTGTGTGTATCTTAAATTAGACTTTTCCTGAATTGGGTCTCATTCAAGTTTGGTGATGTCACTGGAGGTACCACTATTGAAGATAGTAGATTATTGTGCTTCAGGGAGAAGGTTTTATTTTGTTACATAAGCCTGAAGAATTGCCTGCTCAAGTTTTCATCACAGCAGGCTGTGTGGTCATGCCAGTGCATTATAATAAGGATCAGTTTCTTTCTTTGTGGCAGTTTTCTCAACCTAGTATGGCATTACAGAGGCAGCCTCTACTACTGGTATTTCTAGCATTGCCATTTAAGCTCAACTAGAAAGAGCCCCTATTCGTGGATGTTTTTTCTTACAAACCCAAAATGTTTCTTAATGTTTTGCTGCTGTGAGCAGTGCAATTACCTGCAGTGTGTAGAAGTCCCTCCTTGACTTTCTCCTTGATGCCTTTTCCAGCCAGCAAGGAGGGACTTGTTTAAAAAGACTGTTTTAAAGTGGTATTTAAAAATCTGCAAATTCTTATGGGTTGTCCTCCCCACCTCAAAATACCCTTTTTTAGTTGTTGAATTGTCATTTCAAAACCCAGATAGTGGATGGGCATTTATTGGCTTTATTAGCTCTTACCCATTAAGGAGAGAAACCTGTGGCCCAATGTAGTTACAAAACCAAAAGCGTTTTTAACTTTGTAAATTCCATGCCTTATTTTCAATTTTAAAAAACACCCTTAAGTACATTCTTCTGTCAACTCAACAAATTTCCTTTTTACCTTCAGTGTAAAATGGTGCATTAAGTAGCCAACTGCTGCAGCATTATAAGTCAAAGTAAAGAGAAAGTCACTTTTTTTTTTTTTTTTTTTTCCACTTTCTAGCCAGCAAATGTGAAATCCTGTACCGGATGACTGAAAAGTTGAAAGGTAAAAATAAAATTTTAAAAACATATGTCAGATGCATGACAATTTTAGTAGCTGCCAAATGTGCCTTTTATCAAAGAACATCTGTAATATTTTTTTAAAAAGGGTAGACAGAAGTAGGGGTGCATGTTGCTGGAATTACTTTGGACAAATTTGTTCAAATCTTACTTCACAATAAGCCTTTTTTTGTTTGTGAAAAGAACAGATTTTAGGTTCCAGTAAGTTTGTTCCAGTATGTGTACATTTGCCTTTGATGGCATGGTTACTTGCCAAAATGAGTAAATGTTAAAACCTGTGTCAGTCTTATTTGTCAATCAAACAACTGTAAAAAGGGGGAAAAAAAAAAAAAAAAAAAACAGAAAATGAAGACGGGTGGTAAACTTTAGCTGGCACATCTGATGACTTTTGTGCATAATTGTCTGTAGGTGATCGTGTGCTGTGTCTGCAGGGGTTCAGATTGCATTTAAGTGAAAATTTAATAGTGGATATTACCTTTTGACATTAAAGATGTGTTCTAAAAATAAAAGCACCTTACGTCTCCCAGAAGTGTACACTTTTGAATATGTAAGATACACTGAAAGTCCTTGTAGTTCAAGGCTTGCTTCCTTAAGCTTAAATACTATGTGCTTTACATTAAGGACAATCATGAGTCTCTTACAGATACAGCTTTTGCACAGGAAAGTAAAATACTAAAAGACACAGTAGTTTTTGAGCAGATGAACCATATGAAGTAGGAGACAAGTAAGCAAGGTGTACATACAGTAGGGGACACAAAATAGCATCCTTTAACTGTTTGATCTCTGCCACAGGATTATTCACTGTAGGTGTTACTCCAGCTCTGCAGCTTTCTGTTACAACTTACTCCATCAGAGGATCTGCAGTCTGTGGGTAAATACTCTTGAATTTTATTGTATTAATTTTTTAGGTAGGTAATTTCATGTAAGAGCCTACATCTCATCTCCTTGTTGAATCAGATCACACTAAATAAAGGGACATTATGTTTAATATTGTGTATCTGTCAATAGTCAAAACATCTTTCAAAGAACAGCAAAACAGAGTGGTTTTCACCACTCACAAGTAGAAACTGCTTAATATTCAGGGTAGTCTCCTCCATCTAATCCACTCCAACCAAACAGTGGCCAAAGACAGTACTACACATGCCGCAGCTCCTCTCCTGTTTAGGCATGAGCAAGGGCCCTATCAACTTTATGTAGAGTTCGTAAAAAGCAACTGGATTCCTTGGAACCTGTTGAAGTGCTTTTTGCCCTTACTGAGGAATAGTTGTACACATATATGACTTCTACTGAGGTGGAAATACTCTAAGATCTTGTAGAGGAAGGTAGGATACATTGTAACTCGGGGAAAAAAAAGTAGGAGAAAGTACCTAAGTTTTATATAAAACTTAAAAGTAGCTTCAGTTATGCTGGCTTAGAGGAATGAAGTGGTAAGAGGATACGTTTGACCAGCACTGAAAGTCAAAGTTACCCATAATTTGAGGAGAGTCTAGGGTGGTTGAGTTAAGCAGGGAGTGTAGCCATGGAGAGGTGATCTAGAAGAGTCACAGCCACAATGAGAGCATGTTCTGTTGGGGACTGTCTCAGGTGCTGGCAGTTCTCCAGCAGCCAGCTGATAAGCATGCTCTACATCCTTATGATTGAAAGGGATTTGAGGAGAAAACACCCCACTAGATTTGCACAGGAGTGCATTTGGGCTGTTTGCAGGGAGCTACAGAGCAGTAGGAGGAATGGGACACACACTTGCAGGTGCTGTGTGGAGTGGGGAGGTATGAGCACCGTGGGCAGAGTTGTTCCTGTTTGTGGTGTCGTTGTTTTGGACCTGCTGAGAATGTGGCAAAGGTAAGACAGTGTTGATAGTCAGAACTGGAATTACTTTAAAAAAAAAACAAAAAACCACCTTGGTATGCAACAAATGTTTGTGATACACAGGAAGATACTAAGATCTCTCACAGAGCTGGTTAGTTGAAATTAAGCTGGTGTGTATGTCAGTGGAGGAGGCTTATGGGGTTTTTTTGTGAAAGCTAATTTGTTTGTAACAAAAGCCGCAGAAAAGGAGTAAAGGAGATGGAGGAAGGAGCTGAAGAAATGTTACAGTTACCTGCACCAACAACAGGATCTTGACCAGAAGCCTAGAGTCAGTCGGCTGAGTGCTGGGTAAGAGTCTTGGAACCAGGTGTATGGAAACAGTCTTCTCACATGACTGTGTGCAAGGGAACAGAATTTTGTAAGAAATATTGCTTCAGAAGGGGACCCAAGAAACGTGGGTTTTTTTAATGGATGCAACCTTATGGCTGATTCAGTGCAAAAGAAACAACAGCATTATTTAAAAGCAACATTTATTTGGCACAAGAAGAAAAATAATTGAGAGCACACACGTACACTAAAAGTGAAGTTGGATTGAATCCTGAAAGAGTTTGGGTGTTTTTTTGTGATGCTGAGCATCATTCATTTTATTTACATTTGCAGATTTTGAGCAGGTATGAGGACATCTCAAATGGTAAGCATAGGCCTGGAAGGAAGAACTCATACAGGGTCAGAAAGCAATAACCATCAATTCTGACCATGCCTTAAATCACTAAAACAGAAGCTAAAATCCACATGCATTTTACAAGCAAGGGTCTGCCACTTTGGAAGGATTTCCTCACCCAGATATTAGCAGATAGGTTTCCCACTTTTCCTGTTAACTGCCCTCGCATCTGCCTGGCATGTGTGAGGAGCAAATTCTATGAAGAAGTGTTGTTATATAAGAAGCCAAAGACACAAACATCAACCCTTGACAGCATCAGTGCATTAAGTGGAAACTCATCCATATTGATTTAAGTCTGGTTCCATGGACAAACAAATAGGTCTGCCTATGGCTGATTCCTCTGCAGAACCAACAGGCTTTGCTGATGCTTCAGTTAGAAGTATCTGGCTCTTTTTACATATTTCTATCCTGGACCTGCACAGTCTGACTGAAAGCTGCAAAGTCATAGGAAGTGCCCACACACAGAAGTGTCTTTGTGATGCAGTGGCTGGTCAGCATGGAGCAGTCCTGACTGAGATGGGCAAGGAAATTTGTAACTTAATGAGGACGTGAGGGAGAGAGAAAGAGATGGAAGGTGGTTTTTGTCATTAAAAACCTTAAATTTTAAAAAATCTTCCCAAAATAGTTTCCAAAAGCTGGGGGGTGGGAAGAAAAGATTGTATGTTTTTCCTTTTTGTAAGGAGAAGTGGATTTTTAGGAACTATTTTGGGTCCAGTGAAATCTGCGGGGCAGGCATCAGCTAAAACATTTGAAACTCTGAGGTTTTGCTTGGTCACTTCCTTGAAACACTGGGAAAACTCTGATGGAGATAAAGCATAGCTTTTGTCTGTTTTGAAGGGATAACCCTGTTCACACACACTTCACCTCCACCAGAGGAGGAAATCAGATGGTAGATGCAGGTCAGTCAACACTGTGCTATAGTCCCTGTGTCTGCAGTGGGTATTAGCCACTGCAGCCGGGGACATCTGCTCTGGGCCCTCCCTGTACCATTGCCATTGCCAGGAGTGCTGTGCAGTATGGTGAATGCTTTTCTCTTGGCACCAGATTCAGTCACCCTTTGCCGTAGTTGAAGTCCCAAGCCCCTAATCAAACAGCCTTGTATATTTCCCCAAGACATTGCTGTGGACCCACAGAGACAGTTCACAACCTCTTCAGATGAAGCTGTTCTTTATGACAGACCAGTGTCCCAATCCTGCCAAAATAAGGTGATAAAACAACATTTCCTCTTGAAACTACCCCTAGTGTGCCCCAACTTCAGCTAATGCCACAGCCCTGTATGAACAGCTGTTCTTGCTGCTGGGGTGTGACATGGATGTCACATCGGAGGACTGTATTTCCCTCCATACTTTCTTTATAACAAAAGCTGAGTCTTCTGCAGAGAACAGCATTACTGAGGGTTTGTCATGTTGAGATGCAAGGAGGGTGGCGTGTGTTGTGGGTGTAAGAGTGTCCTTGTCCAAGAAGGAGGGCTTGTGACTTTGAACATGGAGCACCATCAACTTCCCTATCATCGTGCCTCAATTTTATCTAGAACTGCTCCCAGGCAGGATGCTGCACATGATGGAGCTTGTAAGGTGTTGTCAGGCCAACAAGGGTTAGCAAAGAGTATTTCAGGTCAGTATTTCAGAGCCAGGACACTGACTGGCTGTCAGCATCTGCATCAATCCATGGTAGGGATAGGGTAGAGTCTTTGCCTCTTCTGGCAGGCCCTGGGCTCAGCCTGCATCACCTGCCTGGAGACATAAGCAATTCTGACAGCAGGAGCAGAGATTCATATGGCAGGAGGCAATTCAGGAAACAGCATGCCACATAAAAGGTGAAGGAGGATTTTGGGGGGTGATGGAAGTCCAAAAGAAAGGATGCTGCTGATTAAGTGGTACAGTGCCCAGGTGCTTCAGCTGATGCTTGTTAGACTTTCTAAAACCAGCAGGGTAATGCAAGCTGGCCTCCTGGAAGACTGATGGCGTGGGGGTTTTTTGGAAAGTGGAGGAAGGAGAGGAATTTCAGACTTCTGGCCAGGTTGCCAAGGCTGCAAAGATAACACCTCTATTGTGGGTGAGCCCAAATTAGGCCTCACTTGAATTTGGAAGAGCAAAGATGTATGGCAAATCAAGCAGCATTGGGGGATGAGGGGGAGGAGAAGAAAGTGGGATTCAGCCAAAGCTTTCCAAAACTCCGAGGAAAGTTAGGCAGGGAGTGAGAGCAAGCAAGTTCCTGTGCTTGTTTGACCTGCTGGCTGAGCTTCACTTCAACCCATAGCCTGGCCCTGCCCTGTGCTAGGAAGAGCAGGATGCATTTGTAAGGCAGTTGTGACAGTCTCCGCTCCCCCACGCCTTCACCTACTGTGTTAGTCAGGGGGGATCTTGGGGCCTTGCTGTCTCTCTCCACCCTCAGGGACCTGGGGAAACACTGTTGCACTTAGGCTGTGGCCTGCCTTTCTTGGGGCTGCTTATTTCTTTTTGAAGAGCTTGCGGAAGGAGCTCCGGAAACCCCCCTTGGGCTCGTGCCGTGGGTTGTGGTCGCTGAAGGATGTTTGCTCATTGTCATCCTTCTGGCAGAACCTGGTGTTGTCTTCTGCATGGAGCTCCTAAAAGGGAAAAGACAATTTAACCAGCATTTTCAACCTCACATCCTTTCCCATTCTTTCTCTCTCTTTGTGCTAGGAGGGGCCTGGTGGATGAGGAGGTGCTGGCAAGGCTGGGAGACAACAGGTCACTCAGGCCTCAGCAACACGGGTACCTCTGCAGAGCGCTTTTGACTGGCTCTGAGGCTGAGGCAGTGGCAGAGGAGTGGAAGGATAAGCATTGTTAGAGGAAACTGGAGCCTTCCTTGCTAAGCTTTTTGTTTAGGGGCAGCTTACTAGCCCTTTTTGCCAATGAGGGAGCAAGCCAGCATGGGCAGTTGAAGGAACTTCCCACCCTCTCCTTGAGAGCTCATGAGCTCTCTGTTTACCCTAGAGCCTGGAGGTTTCAAGCTTCTTGAGCTGATACAATGTGAAAGACTCTTCTGCTGGATCTACTACTGCCTGGTTTTATATCTGTGGAGCAGAAAGCTGCACTAGCACACAACACACCTTGGGATAAATGTGTCACTAAAAGATTTCTTCCCCCTTTTGGGAGAGTGCTCGGTTCCTCTCAGCAAGGGTCTGAACAAGTCTCTTTTCTCCAGTTCTGCCCACCACTGCCATGGTAGTCTCCATTGCTCTGTGAGGGAGAAAGTGTCCTGCAGTTCTGGACTAGCCCCACATCTGCACCCTGCTGTGGGCCACAGCTCTGTGCAGGTGAGTGCCAAAGAGCTCACAAGCTCCTGTTTCTGGGGGGACTGTCCCCATAGCTCTTTTCCCTCTGCCTTATCTCCCCTGCTCAGCTCTCCACCACCTTCTTCACTCACTAGGCTTTTTTCTCTCTTTTTTTCCCAAGGTTTTCCTGCTGTCTTTTCAGTCAGGCTGTTGGAACCTTCCTCCCATCATCATCATCAGTATTTACAGCCTCATCTGCATCTTGCCTCATTTTAACAGAAGGGTGTTTCTCCAGGCAGCCCTGAGAGAACTAGCTAAGCACTTCACAGCATCCTCGGCCTCTTCCCCAGGAAGTGTGAAGTCTGTCTTCCTCCCTGACTGTGACAGCTCAAAGCTGACCCTGAACAGGCACTGCAGACTACAGAAACATTGTTCCTGCAAGACTTGGAAGGGCTAGAGTGCTGTCTGCCATGCCAGTGGTTGTCTGAGGGATGTGGTTGCTGGGCTGTTTTCACACAGACTTTAGCATGGGTCTGTGATCCATGCAACAAACACAGGTGAAACAAAATCCATGAACCAGATCCTTGGTGGTGTAAATGGGCTGAGTTTGGCCAAGTCATCCTGGTTTATACTGGCTGAGGATCTGATAGTAAATCCACTGGTTTTATTAACCCAGCATTCCTCACAGCAGGTGGAAAGGCACCCTTTAAACTGGGTGCCACCCTATAGCAGTAATTTTGAACAGCTTTGTGCATACTTAGTGATCCTGGTCAGATACTTGTGGGGGAAGGTTAGTGACAGCTAGAGATACATGAGGCTAGCTTGTCTCAAGAGTGTTCTAGCTGTCACTCAGCAGCTGTGTGCTTCAAGCCCATGCTTGTGGAGATATGTGTGAAAAGGAGCTGTCTTGTCCCTCCCTTGGGCGTGTACATGCAAATGAGGACTCTGAATGTGTGGACTTGGAAGTTATTTTGGCATGTTCTGCCTTAACTGTATCTCAGATCTTTCTCTTGCTGCTGCCACTGCTTCTGCACCACCATGTGCCTTTTTGTTGTTTGGGGTTTTTTTTCCTCCTATTTAAGCCTCCTTACTTCCAAAAAGCTCTGTTTTTCACCCACTCCTCGCTGTGGGGGGAAGTAGCTCCTTTGGGAGCTTCGAGATGAGGCTGAGATCATGTGAGGCTGGACATTCCTCTCCTGCTTCTGCTGCAGCCGGCTCCCACTGCTGCTCCGTGTGCTGTAGAGTCTGGTGCTCACACCCTCAGCATTCCTTGGCAGCTCCTTCAGAGACCTGCTCAGCTGTTTGCCTTTGCTGTGGAACATCTCACGTTTGTAAGTACTGCTGCTTACAGGAGTGCAGCTCTTAGGCAGTGGCTGTAAGGCGTGATCTGTCCTCTCTGGTTCTGATGTGAAGTTAACAGGCCTAAGGAAACAAATGTCTAAGCTGGACTCAGAAGAGGCTGGGGAGCAATTCTCAAAGAGAGTGAGGTTTTGGAAGGCATCATCTTCATAGGGGCCTGGCAGGGTGAAAACCTCTCCAGGGTAGTCAAACTCTTCGTAGCTTGGCACAAAGTTCCTCGCATCCTGCAGCAGCTCCACAGAAGTCCTGATGGCTCTCTCGGTGTTTCCCACTGCATCAGCTGGTGGTGCTTCATACTCCATTTCAGGGATGGATTGTAAGGGGGCTGTTAGAGCCTTGAGTTCCTGCTCTGTGAGCTGAGAGGATGCAAGGATGTTCTCTGGCCTCTCATGTTTTCTACTTTCTATTTCCCAGTCAGGGGGCTTTACAGCCTGGATGTTCTCCATCACAGTTGATTGGGGTTTCTTCAGCTGAGGCATCAAATGCCTTAAAAATAGGAAACAGAAAAAAAAAAAAAAAAAAAAAAACACAAAAAACAGAAGGAAGTGGAATACTAAAGGATAAGTAGATACAGCATGACAAGCCCTCTTCCCCCTTCACTCCCCCAGTCCCATTCTCTTGCTTTTAATGCCAATAGCTGTTATCATATCTTGTAGAACAGTAACAGAGCTGCCACTAATAGAATTGCCTGAGTGGATTAGCAAGAGCAAACCTGCAGAGGTAGAACTGCTTATCCAGTAGCTTTGCCTGACTTTTGTACTCCACATCATGAAATTAATAGAAACAGATGAGAAACCAACTGCTCCATCTCTTTCCTGTTCATCTGCATTTTGGATTTTTACTTTCCTTCTTTTTCTGTAATGCAGGGGCTGTGTCTTACTTTCCTGTGGTCTGTGTTTTCAGACAAACAATGTTCCTTTCTTGGGTAGGGTGACCGTCTTCAGAAGTGTGTCAGGAGTCCTTGGAGGACTCCTACCTGCTGTGTGTTCCAGGTAAGTCAGAAGAGAGTACTGCATTGGTTGATATACTAGTTGCAGGGTGTGCACCTCCATGGCTCTTAACAGACCCTAGTTAGAAATGTCCCACTGCCATCATCTGGGTCATAGTGAATGGATTGGGGGAACAGAAACATTGTGATATTCATGATGTGCAGAGCTCTGCATCTGGGGCAAGATAACCCCACACATCAGACCAGGCTGGGAGATTTGGGTTGAGCGGCATATCTGGTATGAATTTGGGGTTATAGCCAATGCCAGGCTAAAGATGAGCTGACAGCATGTTCTCATGTCAGACAAGGCAAACCCTGACCTGAGCTGTATTAGGAGCTCCATCGCCAGCTGAGCCTGGGGATTTTTTTTCCTCCTTCTGTTCAGTGCTGATGAGACCCCCACCTGGCCCCATGCTGGGCCCTCAGATCAGGATGAATGTGGGGAAACTGGGGAAGTGCTAGCTGAGACTACCAAGATGAGGGCCTGGAGCATCACATCTGTGATTGGCTTGGGTAGTTTGGTGAGAAGGAGGCTAGGTATTGGTGTAATAACATTGGCACTTGAGGGGGACTCAGAATGATGAAGCCAAACTCTTGTTTAGTGTCAAATGATGTAAGGAAGCACAACAGCCACAAATTGCTGACATAAGAAAAAAGGTAAGTCTAGCATGCTTCTCTAATAATCATCTCAGTAGGCTAAAAATGGCCAAAGATTGCTGGGTGGTACCAGTAGCCTCATCTTTCTTGAATTAGTCTTGTGTCTTTTTGAACCCGTTTTACTTGCATCTTGTGATAGTGAGTCACATCATTCAGTGACATACTATGTGGAAAAGTACTTTTTTTTGCTAGCCTGAGACTTTGGTCATGTTTCCTAGCTCTTGTAATGTTCACAGTGAATAACGTGGAGTTACTATGTACACCACTGCCAGGCCTACACAAATACATGTGCTCCCTGGTATACTGTTAAGACAGCTAGCAAGAATAGCCCTGGGTAGAGCTCTGAAATGTTTCCTGCTTGTAAGTCATGTGGTAGTGGATAGGAGGAAGGAGCCAGCCCTTCATCTCTATACATACACAGGGAGTAGTCTTGGAAATAGTCTGTAACTGCCTAGTGTTGCTGGCAAAGTATGGGTGAGGAGAGAGTTTTCAGCCTGCTTTGAAAGCCTTCTACTGGGACAATAGGCTTACGGGGTTGTCGTGCCAGAGGAAGGTGCTGGTGGGAATGATTGTATTGTCTCTTCAGAGTGGATCCCGCCGTCCCGGATAGATGTTGCACTGGGTGTTGGAGAAACCTCTTGGCTCGTACACTGGGAGGTGAGACCTTTGTACAGCTTCACCAGGGATGACCTGAGGGAGGAGAAATCCATCGTCGTGCTAAGAAATAAGGCAGGGAATGAGCACAAGCATGTAGAATCACAGAAAACAGAGCTGGGAGGGACCTTTATATCCCTGTTCACCTCTTCCCACCCCAAGGAAAGACCTGTTCCACCTAATCTGTCCCAGTCAGCAGGGCATCCTGCTTTCTGTCCTGTTGATAATGTTTCTCCTGATAGCAGTCCCTCCCCAGCAGTCTGCTTCAGCCCTTTACCACCCTCCATATTTGGAAGCTTCCCTTGAAGTTTGATCTTGTTCTGCTCCCCCAATGAATCATCACAAGGAGCAAAGGTGGCCAGATTTTGATTTTAGTAAAAAGTCTTGATTTCAAGGAATTCTTCTGAACTACAACTTAAGAATCTATATTCAGAGTCATTTCTATCACAGTTCATCTCAAACAGGTTTTGGGAGGCTTTTGTTTCTTCCACCCCACTCCTCCAGTAAAATAAGATAATACTATTCTTTCTCAGTCTTAGCCGATGAGGGCTTCTTGGTGCTCACCAGGGCCCTGAGCTGCCAAAGCAACTAAGTCCCCATGTGTTCTCCCACTAGGGAGTGACTTTACCATCAGTTTAAGGAATCAAATATTCCCATGAAACACGTGGCTGCTGTGTTTAGAAGGACTAAACTGATTTTCCTTTCACTCTCAGACAGAAGGGCTAACCCCCAAATCTGACCTCAGTTTGGAGGACAAATGCCAATAGTGAGCCTACTCCAGCATTCATATGCAAAGGGCTTTATTTCAACAGAACAATGTGCCTATTGGTCTTGTCTGGATCCTAAACACCCTGCTGCTGGACTTCCCCCACACCTCCCTTTTCCTGGTAATAGAGGGGGTGAGCTGATGTTGAGCTTACTTCTTCAACTTTTTCCTCTTCTGTATAAGCAGGTCTTCATTGCACTGGAAGAGGAGGCTATAGTGTGAGATGAAAATGCGGAGGCGCTGCACACACACCAGCAGCAGGTAATAGTCAGGATGCTCTTGCTCCGTGAACTTCAAGACATTCTGGGGCACAGAGGAGAGCAGACTGTTTGGAGGGTGTCCTAACCCTTTCTGAGAAGAAGGTGCTATTGGGACCATGGATTAGTGCTATGAAGTGCCCATGCACTGCCCTGTGGGAGCTCTTCTGGGCAGAACCAGAGGGACTTGGATGCTGCCTGCCTCCTACTACTCCAGTGCAAATACACAAGTATCCACTGTAAATATAATCATGGGTATGTGTGGGTGATGAACTAGTTGAGTTTAGCATTGAATAAACAAACCAGTCTCTTTTTACAGGGCTTGCTTTGTGTCATTTGCCTTGGCTGAAATGTTTTAGAACAATTCAGATAACCCTCCTGGGACCCAGAACTCTTTTTATTAGCAAGCTCTTTATAGGAAAGGTTGTTTTCTAGAGGCTGTTGGAACCTCTAGTCCTCTCAGTCTCTCAGCTAACAGGCATGTGGACCACCTAGCAAAGATGCCAGCTCTGTTACAGGGGTTAGGTCAGAGCTCAGAATAGATTAGCTCTGTAGTGCCCTATCTTTGGCCTCCTGTTCTCCCAGAAGAGCAGGCAGCAAAGCTTTCGGCTTCCCAGGGGACAAAAGTTGGTTCTGTCAGGCCAAATGGAGAAACTGGCAAATAGAAGCAAGCCTCAGCTGAAAATGATGAAAATTAGATATTCTCAGCTGGCTTTCCCTTTCAAAAGTTTTTTTTTCAGAGAACCCGCTGGGTTAGCCAGAAGCCCTGTACCTGTACAGGCCTGAATACCAGCTCTGAGTTAAATCATATGTGATAAGAGTTCAGCAAGACAGTTTCCATCCTAGGGCCCTACCTGTAGATGAATAAGGTATTCAGGGATTCGCTGGACTATATGGAAGAACAGAATGTAGAGATCAGACTTGATTTCTTCTTCTATCTGAAATAGAGAAAGCAACTTCAGAGTCTCTCCCACCCATAAAACATGTCTGCTTCCAGATGGTTCTGGGGTTTAATGAGTAGTTATGCTGTAAGTGGTTATAACCGTTCATAGAACACCAGTCAAGTGACAGTTGTGCATGATAGCGTCTTCATCTGCTTCTGGAAGGGATATTTGCAACTCCTTCTACTAGCAATACTAGTCCTAAAGATGAAATTCCTTAGGTTGGAGATTATCTATGAGGGACACTCATTAAGTAGGGGTGTATGTTTAAAGTGCACTAGTTAAGTTGCATTGGAATCCCAGACAGACACTGTTGTTCAGACTGAAGTTCTTAGTTTAGGCCCAAATGAACTGAACAAAATACAGTTGACTTCTAAATTAAGATGTCTTGGAAGTGAGCTAGTGTGGTTAGTTACTGCACTCTAAAACTACCTTTATATTTAACTTTCCTAGTTTAAACCAAGAATTAAGAATGCAAGATGGAATACCTGAACGGTAGAGACTATTTTCTGTCTAAAGCACTTACAGCCTCACTCTTGATCTCCCTGTTTGGATGAGCCCCCTGTTTTCCCAGAGACACCACTTGCCTGGGACAGGTCTGGATAGTGTATGCATAGGCAAGCTTTCTTGGAGATTTGATCCAAGACATAGTTTCATGCCACAGCAGAAATATAACTTTGGTTACACATAGTGATGAACATTAAAGCTGCCTTTTTTAGGTTCATGTCAGCTATGGCACCATACATGAAACTGACATTTGGTAACAGAACAAGATGATTGTCAGAGGAGTCCTATTGCAGACAGGCATAACAGGAGGACATCCAGCTTGCACATTGCCATTACATATCTGTGAAGCAGGCAGGAAGTTTACCTCCTTCAGGATCACCACATGGATCAGAGAGATGCATTCTGGCAGGTCCCTCAGGTAAGCAACATAGTAGTCCAGAAAATTATTCTTATGAAAGGAAAAAAAGAAAAGAAGAAAGAAACTTGAGAAATTTTTGTTCATAGAACAAGCCAGAACAAGAAACCGTTGATTCCCCACTATTACTCCTGCGAGCTCAGCAGTCAGCAGAGCTGCAGCACTGTGAAACTTTTAGGTCTTAGGATTTCCCAAGAAAGGATGTTTAATAAAATGTTTTCAGCTGTTGAGCACTGTGTATAAAGTTTTATAGCTGTACTGGGTGTGTGTGGCAGGGTTCTTAGTAGTGGGAGAGGGGGCTACAGCAGTGGCCTGTGTGAGAAGCTTCCCCATCTCCAAGTTGGACCCTCCTCTGGCCAAGGCCAAGCCAGTGACAGTGGCTGTACCTCTGTGATAACATATTTGAAAAGGGGAACCGAAAGGGAGTGGGGGGACTTGTGAGGGGACATTAGGACAAGGACACTACCTGTGTGAACACAGAGGTCAGTGGAAGGAAGGAGGAGGAAGGGGTGAAGGTGCTGGGGGGAGATGTGCTGGGGCAAAGACTCCCCTGAATCCCATGGCAGGGCCACCCCCCTGTCACCCATGGAGGTCACCGGAGGAGCAGAGATCCACCTGTGGCCTGTGGAGGACCCCGGGGACTCTGTGGGAAGAGGAAGCCCTCGCTGTTGTAGTTCAGTGCTGGGAGGACCGCAACATGCAGGGGTGACCCACACCAGAGCATCTCAGGAAGAATGCATCCTGTGGGGAGGACTCACGGTGGAGAGAGCTTGTGGAGGACTACCTCCCATGAGAGGGATGCCACGTGGAGCAGGGGGAGAATGCACAAGAGTGCTTCTTCCCCTCCTTGGAGGAAGAAGCTGTGGACTGACTTCACCCCCCATCCCCTACCCCTGTGCCACTAGGGGAGGAAGTAGAAATACCAGGAACAAAGCTGGGCCTGGGAAGAAGGGAGGGGTGGGGGGGATGTTTTTAAGATGTGGTAGTGCTTCTCACTGTCCCATTCTGTCTGTTAAATGTCGCTGTTGGTAGCATTTTGAATTAAAGTGATGTCAGGTGTTTATTTCTTCCCCTAATAAGCCTGTCTTTTTGCCTGTGACTATAATGGGTGAGGAATGCCTCTCAGTCCTTATCTCCCTAAGCCTTCATATTTATCCTTCCCAGGGCTGGGGGGGAAAGGGGTGAGCGAACTGCTTTGTGGTGCTGAGTTGCCCTCTGGGCTCAAACCATGGCAATAGCAGATGGGAGGTGTAGAGGGGCTGGGGAGAAAGAAGCTTTTCTTAGACTCTTAAAATGTATAAAGCATCAGATGAGTTTTTTATACATACTTCCAGGAGAGGTCCTACTGCTTGCCAGGGGTTGGGCACACCTTCACCCCGAGAAGGAGGTGGTGTATTACTTGGGGCTAGAAACCATATAGGGTAAGGGGCCCACCAGCTTGTACTAACTCTGAGCAAAGCATAATGGGGAAGGGGAGCATGACAAACATGTTTTTTTTCACACCCTCACTCTGAATACAGGCATCTAAGTTGTAAAGACTCACATGTGGCTCCTGCAACTAAGTCTAGGTCTCGTGCATTTATGATAAGGCTGTGCTATGTGGCTGCATGCTCCCAGGTGGGTCTGGCATGGGGGCTCCCTGACCAACCAGGTAGCGTGCCAGTGCTGCTCAAACGAGGCTGGCCAAAAGGCCTTATGCTAGCCACAGCTCCACAGCACAACCACTCTGCTGCAAGGTATCCTGGCCCACCCACAGGCCATTAGCCCAACGTCATGAATCATAGCAGAAGAGAGGTCTGTAACATACCTCATCATTTGTTAACTTCAGGAAGATGTCTCCTAGGATCCCTTGTCGGGGCCAGCTCAGGACTCGCTCTTGTAGAGCATGAAGTAAATCGACATGCTGCTGGACCAGGTACCTCAAAGAGTTGGGGAAGAAACTGAAGGGAGATGATATCAGACTGGTTACACAGAGCAGAAGCTCAGCCCTAACGTGTACTGCTGAAGCGTGCCTTCATGGGTGGTCAGCACAGGCTTGCTTTAAACACAGGTATTATTAACGACTTTTACTGGAGTCCTGGATGCACCAGAAGGCCCTGTTTTGGCTGCTATGTACATGCTGGTACCCTCCCCAGTAGGCTGCTGTTACAGTGTTTTGCATGTTTCTTAGGCTGACTCCAGTGCATTGTGTAGCTGACCATAATTTGCAGAACTGAAAAGCTCAAGGCAATGCTGCTGTGGCTAATGAAGCAGGACCATGGTCCTGAGCCATCCCATAGTGCTTGGAGGACAGCTCCCCAGCTTTGTATTTTGTCTCATTTTTCAGGCCCTTTAACAAGCCAACCCTTCGATAAAGAGCTGGTCAAAACGTGCTACTCCTTTTGTCATTGCATACTGATTTCATTCAGAATGAAGATGTCAAAATATTTTGCCACATGGAAAGGTCCCAGGAACAAAGAGGAAAAATAAAAACTCACTTTGTACTATCATGCTTCAGTTTGAATTGTGTGTGTCGTGTATCTGCTTAAATGAGTTTACATCAACCCATGTACCACATGTCCCTGAGTAGACTTCTGTCAAATGACTCCTTGGATATGGGACTCCTACGGACAGCAGAAAGAGCCAAGAAGAGAGCGAGCTAGCCAGGACTGGGCTCCCCAAATGTGCTTAGGGACTGGAAGCTCCCAGGCCAAAGCTGAGTGAATGGGGAGAGCTGTAGGAGCTATCCCATCCTGGGAACTAAGCTGTCCCAGGGGCTAGCCTTTGCAAAGAGCTGGGTTTAACTGCTAGACTGGGTCAGTCCCCACTGGTCTTGTATCTGTGTGTAAATATATGTGTATGTCTGTGTCTATTGATATCTGATGGGTTTCAGCCACTAGCCAGGGACTTATGCCCACAGCAGCTTCTAGAGCTGGAGCTGTGGATGGGGAGAAGGCAGCAGTGAATGCATAAAGCTCTTTTTCTGCTCGCACAGGAGGCATGCAAAAGAACAGGAAACTGATGAGACTCAAAGGGAGACTGAAATGAAGTAGTAGTGAAACAGTTTGGGATGCAAGGTGAACGAGATGTAAGGACAGGCAGGAAGGTCTTTAATCACTGCAAAAACCTTCCAGTGCCTCCAATTTTCAACTAGAAATAAGCTCTAAGTGTTCAAAGATCTCAGTGTGGATGAAATGAAAGTGGGAGAGAGGATGATGCAGAAAGAATGCTGACTGAGGAAAACTCCCCAAAAGAGAGAGCACACTAAATCAAATACCTTCTCTCTTTGGTGCTCCTTTTCGAATCTGGTCCCTGCAATGTGGCCTTGATCTTCAGGATTAGAGAAAGGTTGATGACATATTTTCTTTCTGATTCCAGCAGCTCCAAAGCGATGTTCTGCCTTTTGGCTTCCAGAAGATAATGGTTAAGTTTAAAAGTAAAGAAATGCTGACCTCAAGGCAAGCCTCATGTTAGACCAGTGGTCTGACATTAAATCATGAAAGGAGAAACTGCTGAAAAGTGACATCAATATCTTGTCTTTGTATGTCTACTCTCCCCAAAATATAAAATTCTAGCCTGATGCTACAGCATGCCCCAGACATGCCAAGAGACACAGCTTCCTAAGAAATCTCCAAAGCAAATGTGTTTTCCCCTATGAATGCTATTTTTTTTCTAAGAATAACAAAACAAGCAATCAAAGGCAAAGCAACTCATAACAGGGATTCACATCCAGTTTTCTGCAGAATGAGAAGTATTTTTCACCTGTTTAAGCAACTACACTGTCACAATCCCATCAGTACTCTGAACTGGCCAGGTCCTGGAAAAGAGAATGGATGTCCTGGGTGCAGAGCAATTCTGTCAGTGGCACAGACCAGCAAATACAAAAGCTAGAAGTCTTGGAGACTGAAGCCCTGAGACATTCTCCTCTTGCAGGAGAAACTGCCTCTGTGTCTACCTCTGTAGAAGCTGATTACTGACCAGCTCACACCAGATGAGAATAAGCCTCTAGCCAGAGTTTTCCACTCTGTCCTTACCAGCCAAAGAGGGTTCGCATATAATGTTGTCTGCTGAGCTGTATCTGCTTTGGCCTATGTCTTTTCCTCTCTCCGGTTGCTCTTTGGAAATGTATTCATCTCCCCAGTCCTTAGTGTCTTTGGGTTGCTTCCACACTGTTGATGGCAGATGCACTTTTGACTGCCCCTCTGTTGTCAAGGAAGGCTTGAGACTATCATCTGTCTCTATGATTGCTCCTGCAATGACAAAGAGCTGCATGGATCTTGACATCAATTGACTACATCAGCTACAGCAGGCTGCCAACCTACATTTGAAGTACTGGAAGGAGAGTCTGAAGCATTATCTGTGCTTCACAAGGGCTTTAGCCTTGTAGCATTAATTTACAAACAGAAGTGCATCTGGTGAGCACTTCTTGCAGAACAAGGTTTGCACTCTTCTAGCATTTATTTTCAGGTCAAATAAGGTCCAAAATTAGACACACATTAGAAAAGAAAAAATATATATTCCAAGCATGGTTGCACTTCAGGGTTTTGGGACACTTCAGGACTTGGTAATATGACACATACTGGCAGGTATTATAGAAACAGAAAATAGTATTATAAATTGGCATTAAATGCTATTCTCAACAGATGTGAACAGTTATGGCTCTTAAAATTTTTGTTAGTGCTATGTGATTATACAGTAGCAGTAAGATTGATAGTCTGAGGCTATTAAATCACAGATAAGGTAGGGGAGGGTGAAGTGTATTAGAGCTATTGGGCTGGAATTGCTTTCATGTGAATACTTTGAATTTGTCTTGCTATGAACCATTTTCTGTAGCTTTTATTCTCTCTTTTTTTTTTCAAGTGTATTCAAGCAAAAGAGCCATCCAGAATAGCGAGTGCTTCTGGTGAACAGTGTGAACATCTAATGGCTATTCTCATGTGTCCTTTTGCTGGACAGGGTCCTTAGTGTCCCCTTACTATACCATTCTTTTACTTCTGACCAACTTTTATTTTTGCCAGAAAAACTCCTTTATTCAGACATGTCCACAAGGAATCTGGAAGCTGGTGGGCAAATAAACATCTCACCATTTCTAGTGGTGTGTAGTCACTGCAAAGACCATCTCTTCCCCAGTTGTAAAACAGTACTCTCATTCTTTGCCACATCAGTAAATCTCAATTCTTCCTTTCTGCAAAGGCACTTAGACCCTGCAAAAGCAGCAGCAGAAAAGCTTTTCCTGCCAAATATCAATCCTTTGAATTGTCTGTCAGGTATCTGGCACTTCAGGGATGCAGGTTTGCCCTTGTGTCTCAACTACAAGTATGAAAATGGAGGTACATGCAAAGTGGAAAACATTCCTTTGAAATGCATGCCCTGAAAGCATTTCTTTAGTGCAGTAAACCAACTGCTCTGAATCATTGTCCTACTGGTTTTTGTCAGTTCAGTACTTTCCTACCTGGACCTGCTATGACTTTCATATTTCCTTCTCCCATTGGCATGATCCTGGTGTCGGACACTGTTGAAGAAAAAATTGAAACTTTACAAGAGAAGACAGCTGAAGAGCAGGCTTCCTCCTGCCAAGCCTAGTCAGTATGGTTAGATCCTCTAGTCTTTCACATTTTTGCTATGGGAATGTCCTGTTAGATCCTCCACTGAGGAGGATCTTTACTGTTTTGGCTCTTGTGGTCTTCGTTTCAGTAGCCCCTGCAGGCAGACTAATGTGGGGGTCCCTGTTGTGTTTGGTGCTGTATGACTACAGAGGAACATTTTGTCCTTGCTCAGTAGGTGCACATTGGGTTGAAAGCAACCAGCAAGCAGAACAAGAGGATGGAGGCCTGACAGACACACAGCTGCCATTTGGGGTAGAAAGGAGCTTATTAAAGAGTGGAGGAGTAAGATGGCTGGAAAGAAATGGGCAGTGGGAGAAGTAGGTGAGAGAGGTGGATGTGCAAGAGGGACATGAGGGAGGAGAGGACTAACATACCGCCTCAGAATAGGGCAGAGGGCAGGGCATGACTGACCAGAGTCTAAGGAGAACATAGTAGAAAATAGCATACGGTTTTCATCCAATCTCTGCGTTTGCTGACATTTAAAATGTATACATTTTTAGTGTCTTCCTATCTGAACAGCAAGTGCATGACAGACCATTTTAGACCCCCAAAATCAATTATACAAAAAACAGCTCTGGTCCATAGTCTTTTCTTTGATTCCGGTCTTCCCAAATGTTTGGCAATTGACAGTGATTTCGTGGTCAAGGTGTATCTCTAACACCATGGGTTAGCAGCTTCTGCAGCTAACAAGGGGCAGTGATTCTCCTAGCAGTGTGTATATGCAAGGAGCAGTGACACCAGTAGCCTCATATGTATATGTACCACTCCCATGTCCCCTTGTCAAATCAACCACTGTTGTCTGTCAGCCCAATCCCTGTGATCCTCCATTCTGTGCCCTGCTCCCTTAAACAGAAACAAATTATAGAATCATAGAATGGTTTGGGTTGGAAGGGACTTTAAAGACCATCTGGTTCTAGTCACCCTGACACCTTCCACTAGATCTAACCTGGCCTTGAACACTTCCAGGGAGGGGCCATCTAAAACTTCTCTGGGCAACCTGTTCCAGCATCTCACCACCATCACAGTTAAGAATTTCTTCCTTATGTCTAATCTAAATCTGTTACCACTCATTCCTACACTCCCCAGCTTTTCTGTAGCCCCCTTTAAGTACCGGAAGGCAGTCACAAGGTCTCCCCGGAGCCTTCTCCAGGCTGAACAGCCCCAACTCTCTCAGCCTGTCCTCATTAGAGAGGTGCTCCAGCCCCCTGTTCATCCAGGCCTTCTCTGGACCTGCTCAACTTCTGATGTTGGAGATCTCAGAGCTGGACACAGGACTGCAGGTGGGGTCTCATGAGAGCAGAGTAAAATGCTTGTAGTATTCTTATCAGGGCTCCTACTTGGCTCTGTGTCTGTGCCACTAGCATTGCAGGAAGAAGATCCAGCCTTCTTGCCTTTCCTTGGAAGAGACAAACAATAGCTTTTGGGACAGTATTCACAGAGCAGCATCTCCTGAATCCAGGCCAGCAGCAAGGTTGCTATCCTGAGACACTGTGCTGAGCTGTGTGCACAGACCCAGGAGCAGTGCTGCTCAGGGGAGCACCCCAGTTCTCTTTTTGTGCTGCTGGCACCTGAGGAAAACTGGGTATCCTCTTAGCCTAGTGACTTTTTTCTGGATTTTTTTTCCTGAGGAAGGCACTGCACTTGCCTACTCTATTTCCTACCTTTTTCATAAGTAGCGTTGTGTAAAAGACTTGTAAAATCTTCATTGATCAGCACAGGTTCTGGGAGGCTAATAGATCGAAATGGGCTGCCCTGGAGAGGCGTAGGCACTGTCTGTGACCCATGATCATCCTTCTGTGCTCTTCTGTACAAATACAAAGAATGAGACAGTTGGAAAGTATGAATGCTACAGGTGAAGCTCCTACACTAAAGTTGTGGCAGACATCAGTATAAGTACAAGCACAGAGTCAAATTAGGACAACTCCAGCAGAGACCAGGAAAGGAATTGGCTTTGATGGAGTTGGCTTTGATTGCAGTTCATGAACTGTTCTGGAAGTAACTTCTACTGGCTATAGAGGAAGGTTATTTCAGAACTGTTCTTTTGCAGAGCATATTTCATCTAATTAAATGGCTTAATTAGCTAAGGAACTAGCCTAGATTTGCAAAGTGTTTGCATCAAGGCAGCTGTACACTTATCATCAAAACTCTGTTTTCAGAAGGAGGCCAATCAGGACCAAGGTGGACAAGCTGTCTGCTTCATCACAGCAACAGTGTGGCCCAGCAGTGTGCAAACATGCTCCTGCATGACTCTGCTTGGAGAAAAAAGACTGGTGATAGCAAGGCAGGCCATGACTGCATCATCAGGAGTCCACCACGTCCTGCATGCTTGGAAGGGGAAACTGCAGTGCTATTGTCTGGATAGGGGTGGGTTAGCAATAGCTTGTAATGGTGAAGGCTCCTGACTTTCAAAAGTATTCCTGCCCCAACATGTCTCTAGCAGGTCTGTGTGTTTCACCAGGGCCTCATTTTCCTAAGAGCTTGCTGGGACTATTTTGCTGTTGGAATCCCAGTGAGGTGTTACTGTTTGTTTGCTCTGTAGGGTATGTGTCTAAAAGCCTGGGGTGAACCAAAGGCTAGAGCTTCCAGTAATAATCAGGGTTGATATACATGTCCAGCCAGGAAAAAATTAAGAAATTAAGCTATAAGGAAATCAACGAAACAGACACCACTTCTAATTAGCACTTCCGGAGCCCTGGAGTTTGGGCCCTTACTTAGCTTTCACTTTCCGTGATTCCCGCCGTTTCTCTTGCTGCAGCTGCTCAATTTTCTGTTGCATTTCCTCCTGCTTCGCACTGATTTCTTCAATCATTGACTTTGCATCGCTGAGCTCCTCCTGAGAAACAGGCAAAAGCACAGCATTCCCAGGGTGCCCATCAGCCTTACATAGCATAGCTTTGAATGCTGGCTGGTGCACACTAGAGATGCTTCAGGGTGCTTCAGTGAGTGGTTCTGTGATTAGACACTCTTCCTTTGCAGGTCCAGTGTGTGTAATACATGCCATGCAAAGCATGACAATCCTTAATTCAACTATAGGCAACTCAGCTAAGCCAGTGTGATGTCACATGGTTAAGGCACTGATGGGAGATGAAAACATAGTACTTAATCCACCACCAGCTGAAAGCACTGGGAGAACTTTAATGGCATTTGGAGGTAGCCCTGAGAAAGCATGTTTCCCTCTACAGTTCTCTAGCAAGTGTATTAACACGTCGCACTTGGTTCAGATCCCAGTGCGATCACTAACATGTATAAGCTTTTGCCAGTCAGGCCTCAGAGCTGCCTTTTTGGCCTGGTTTCCTAAGGAAATGAGGCCCTCCATAACCTCCCTGTCATCACATCCTCCCTCAGGCAGTTTCAAACAAGACTTTTGACCTTTTGACAAGGATGTAGAGCTCTCTGATGCATGAAGTTCCTGCAAGTTTCATCAATGTGAGCAGCAGGATGGAGGAGACACAAGAGTTTCTTGTAAATTGAAGGAGAGGGATTTTTCCCAAGCAAGGAGGTGGCTTCACTGGGAGTTCAACATTTGGACAGTCAACGTGGGCATGAGGCAGAGGGAGAGCAGCCTTTGCCCCTCCTGTTGTTCATGTAATTCCTTGTATATGGATTTTAAAACCCCTTTTTCCTCCATAACAATGTCCTTGATAACCCTGCCTCTGATTGCTTTGAGACCTCTGCCATGTGCCCTTACACTTCTTGTCTCCCTCACTCATCAAGGACCAACAGGGCTCCTTTTGCCTGGTGCCATCTGTCTCTCCCTGTCAGAGGGTCAGTAACAGGTTTTTCCAGTAAGCAGCCCTCTTTAACTTCACAAGGTATTATTGACTCAGCAAAACCCCATGGGGCAAATTTACCATAAAAACAATAAAACAGTTCCTTTGCCTGTCTCCTCACAGGCAGTCATCCAGTTTCTGCATGGAGACACTGGCTGGTTTAAAGTGTATGTCAAGACTTCTTGCTCTCTAGTCCTTTGTCTTTATCCTCTTGGGCCGGATCAAACCAGGCAGCACTTCCTCCCAGCCACATGGGAGTGCAACTTCAAAAGGCTTTAGGGTTTTGTGTTAATTCCTTGCTCCCCAGCAGCTTTGGTTCCTGCAGGAAATGCAGAAGACCTGACCCAGGGAGAGATATGGCACAGTGGCCCAACAGCAGCCTGTGCACAGGCCACATACCTGTTGCATGTGCAGCCCAGAGTAAGGGTTGCTTGTGCCCAGGGTAGATCACAGCACAGCCTCATGGCCCATTGAGAAGGTTAAACGGGTCAGGATGTGGGTTATGTTTGGGTTGGAATAGTCATGGGAGACAAAAAGCCAAAGGAAGTGCACCAGATACATCTGAAACAATTGCCAGCATATTTTCTTTGCAAGCAGAAAGGATTAACGGAGTCAGGGGAATGCTGCCCTATGACACTTGAGCTGATGTGGCAAGTATGCACACCCCCCCCAGATTAACAATCCTACCTTGAATGTGTTGAGGGAATTCTTCATCTCTGCCACTTTCTCTTCCATGGCACAGCGGCAGCTCTTGACCTTCTCCTCCAGGGCATACTCGCCATGCTGGATTCGTGACAGCTCCTGCATCGCTTCTGTGAAACCCGCCTTCAACTCAGAGGCTAATGCCTGCAACTAGAGGAACCACAAACAGGGTGGGTTCAGTCCCTCCTCCCAGATGCAGGTGGCTGTGTCCCTGAGGGTCACCCATGGTTCAGAGTGGCAAGGAGGCTGGGTGTAACTCATCCTGTAAGGTGCTGTCCTCTTTCTCCTCCTCCTCTCATGGCTGGGAGACATGAAGGGAGGTTTGGCCCCTGCTGCAGCCTCAGTATAGTGTAAGAGGTATTTGTCTTGGGCAGTCAATGTGCCCCTTTTTAGATCTAGAGTTTTTCCAGGCTCCCTGGCAGTTTGCAGCCTGTCAACCTGTAGGACAGCCTGCAACATGCCAAGCAGGTTTGTAACAGTAGCAGCCACTATATCAATCCCCAAAGCAGCTGAGCAATCAAGAACATGTCTGGTTTTGAGAAAGTCCTCCTCCCCCACATGCTTGTGGGGCTGGTGCTCTCCCCAGACAGGTCTAACACCTCCTTGCTCTCCAAGGGCTGTGGAGAAGCTCTGTCCTTGGTCAGCAGGTCCTTTCCAGGGAAGGAGGCAACTCTTAAACTTGTGAAGGGGAGGGAGCTGGAGGTTTTCCCCTGGCATACAGTAACACTGTGCCCCCTCTCCCTGTTTTCTGTCCCTAGAGGCCCTGGTGCTGCTGGAAGAGCTCACAACCTAAGCTGGAGGCAGCTGGTTGATGGCTGGGTGAAGCAGGAGACAGACCGGGGAGAGCCAGGCTGGCATAGCGAGCAGATGAGGCGGGTGTGAGGGGAGGTAGACAGCTCTCGGAGGGCTAAGCAGGGACACCCTCTCCGGGGGCTGGTTGGGCTGGCAACCCTGAACTCTGCCCCCACTACTGTGAGCAAGGCGCTCGCTCTGCCTGCCCAAAGCCCATGGCGAGGTCGCGGACCAAGGTGCTTCGGAACCAGTGGTTTTTACCTTTACAACAGAAATTCGGCCTAACATCTGGTTATAAACTGAGTCCAAAACTGGAGCACTGATGGTAAGAGGACAGCCACCCCGGGAAACTCAGGCGCTTGAGTCCTGTAAATGGAGCAGAGATGGCTTCCGATACCTCAGGGCAATGGCATGCACCATCCTCCTCTGATCAAGACTGGCAGTGTCTTTACAGAGGACGTCTGCTTGACATCCCCACTCCTACCCCAGTGATTACCCCACAGTCCCCAGTCTGGTCTGGCTGGACACACATTCCCAGAGCTACCTGGGTAGGACAAGTAGGACTGACAGGAGCTGGGACAGGGCAGAGGGGAGCAGGAGGCTGAGGATATCCTCCCTCCTCAAGCAGTTAACCCTGATTCCCCAAGCCAGCTGGAGCTCCAGACCCCTTGGTTCAACCCCTTCACCCACCCTTCCTGGCCACAGTGGACACCTTCCTGTCACAGGAATTGTCACCCTGTGAGTGCAGCCTGAAGCATTAGAGGGGCTGCTTGGGGCCATGGCTGCTGGGGGAGGCAGTGACCATACTGTTTCTGATATCTCAGCCTAGAGGGGTGAGCCAGATGGTCATGACATCCTAACATACATGCCTGGAGAAGTGGAGGGATATAAAGTACCGCAACTGTGCAAAATGTTAATATTCCCATCCCTGCTCACAGGTGCTTGCCACACTTCCACACTGAGCTGACATTGCCAAGGCAGTCTTCCTGCTACCCTGTGTCAGGGCTATGCATCGTACACTTTCCTCCAAGTGAGATGGGGTGATTAATCAGATCCGTCCCTTCCAACTGAAATATGCTATTCTATTCTATCCCATGCTATTAATTTTAGAGATCTGCTTCCAGATGGAGATGTCACAGACTGAAGTCTTGCTAGCAGTGGAACAGTCCAGAAGCTGGCCCTGAAGATAACAATGTCTGTGGAGAATAAGCCCAAAATGAAATATTTCTGCCAACAGGCCTGGCCATATCGTCAGATGCTTTCAGAAAAGGGGTAAACTAGACAGATCCTTTGTGAAAGGTACAGGGATGGAAGTCATTGCTGATCTGAAGGATTCAGAGTCAAAAACTGCTAGGCCTCAGCAAAAAGGGACCACTGCAGAAACTTTGATGTCCATGTGCACAGAAATGCTCTGTGAAAGCAGAGTTCAGGCAGCCAAAAGAAAGAGTTGGACTAGAAGCTGGACTAAAATATCCTCTGCATCTAAGAGCAGTCACTTGTAGTTTTGTGGTTCACTGTTGGCCAGGCTCTGCTTTTGCAATCACAGTGCTAGCTTGGTTTCTTTGTGTATCTTTCTCAGTGGTACAGATCCCAGCCTGGGTTTGTTCTGCCTGGTACATCCTTCCTTAGACCCAAGCAGCTTGCAGTGGCTGTTTCAGACACAGAAATGCATCTTACACTCGCATTTATTTCCCTTTGTTGCCACTTGATGGATGAAAGCAGACAGCAACACTAATCAGCCACATCTGTCAGGGCTTGTATGGCTAGATATGAAGTGCTGAAACCCTTAAAACTCCCTCCTCTGCTGCCCTTAGTGCTCAGAGCATGGAAAGGAAACACAAACAGCCTTGTGGCACTGGATGGAAGTCTGATCCAAAATTGAGTGGAGTGGTACAGGAACAACACATTATCTTTGAACTCCTGCCAAGGACAGCGTAGTGCTTGAGCTATGTATTTTAGTTTGAGCTCATTTCTAACAAGCTGTAGAAAACCATCCTTTAAATCCTGTGGGCTGTTACAAATGGAAGCCATTGAAGCATCTGCTTATGCTTATGTCTTGCCCAGGTGATTATGCCTACAGGACCAAAGAGACATTTCACAGTGTGTGAACCCCTGGAAAGTCAAGCCAGTCCAGTTTCCAAAGTTTCTCAAGTGCAACACATAGCAAAAAGATAAATTTTATATTACCACAGAAACTTGCACTGGCTCACCTGTTCATGGGAATAAATACACACTTTAACACTTAATTTGGAAAAGTTAAGGAACACACCATAACAACTTAAGTTGAACTAATGCCTAGAGGATAAATGAATCTGCATGATCATAGGGAGTCCTTAGAACCTGTCCAAGAACTGTTAAAAAAAAAAAAATTTAGGCATCTAAATAATTTCATATGCGATACATATTCTAGCCCCCACCTGCCTTTGGAGCATAGCCCTCAAACCTGTTCAGACTTTGAGGCAGTCCGGAGAAGATTGTTGTGGCCAGATGGGGATGGCTTATGGAAGGAAGGGCTAAGATGGAAAGCAGAGGAAAGAGCCTTGGTGAGCTGGGTTTATTGCCCTGCCTGCCACTGAAAGGATGAGAGGGAACTCTTGCTTCCATGAGTAGCTGTGTCCCCACATATCTCCCCCAGCACCAGCCAGTCTGTTCAGGGCTCTGTATCTCCAAAGGGATGGCTATTTGTATCTGCCATCCTTGGCAGCTGCCTAGGATCCTTACACTAGAACATGGCCTGCTCTCAGGGACCTTGAGCTGAAGCCTGTCAAAACCAGTAGAAAACAGGCTCATGATGAAGAAATACTGCACAGGAATAATTCTGCTATTATAAATACATCCTAGAAAATAGCAAAACCTTCTGTGGCCATGAATGAGTAGTGTTAAATTCCCACATCTTATCTACTGTCCATCAGTTGACACATCTTATGTGAGTGATCTGAAGAAGTAAGGAAACACCGTGTCAGCCAAAAGAGGGCTACCTGAGGATACCAATCTGGTGCAAAGTCCAACACCTGCCACAAACCCTAGATATGATTTTTCTGAGCTGCATAATATATGCTTTTACCAGGAACAACTAATTTCTAACACAGCTACTAACATCTGCATTTAAGGGCAGCACTTCTATAGCCAAGCATTAGGAAGGCTTGCAATGCCTCATAGTGGAAAAGCAGCAGAGCTGTGCTGATTTACAGTGGTAGAGAATCTGGCCCTAGGAGTATATCCAGTATTTATATTCCTAGGCAAGGATGGTAGGAATAAAGGCAGAGCCACAGGGTAAGGACAGAAGAGAAGGATGGAGATACTTAAAGGGGACTGCAAGCACTTAGCAGCTCTTGTTTCACATCTGTGCAATCTTTTGTGGTAACTGCAGTATTCTTAGGGCCCTTGCTGAAGCAGAAGAGGACAGACAGCCAGTAACTTTCATTTAAAGAACTCATTCGTGTGTCCACATCTCAGCTGGGTTTTTCTTGTAAGAAACACGTGTATGGTGTTCCCAGCACACTGTCCCAGCTTTCCATGCATGTTGGATCCACTGTGCTGAGCCCTTCAGCAACCCAGTAACAGCTCCTGATTGGAGCTGTCTGGATGGGAAAAGAGGATGAGACAAGAGAAGCACTGACTAGTTAATAGAAAGCAGTAGCTTCTCCACTTGCCATGGTGGCAATTATAGTGTTGCAATGGTGACAAGGGAGGTTTCAAATAGTCAGGATTTCCAGTTCAGGGATATGTTTCTCTTTCAGAGTATGGTTTTCCATATCGAACCAGACCAAAGTTTATAGTGCTCAAAACTCTGCTGCATTTCCTGCAGACTGAAAATGCATAGGAAACATCACTATGGAAACACTGAAACTGCACCTTACAGGAAGGATGCTCCCTGGACTGTGGTATACAAAATCTTGTTGTATTCATGGTGGCTAATTGCAGCAAGAATGTCAACTCAGAGAGCAGCTGCAAAGCTCTGAAAGTCCTGATCACCTTGAGCCAACATGGGCTCAAAGACAGGGTTTTCAAGCTTCTGGCAGGGGAGCCAGAGACATGCAGCAACACTCAATGCTCTGGCTGGCCCATCTGCTCTGGATTATCAAGCAAGAGCACTCCATGGTCCAAGGAGCTGTGAGGCTGCCAGGATGACCCAGAGCTCCCCCAGAAGATTTAGGCCCCTGCTGGGTAGACACCCCTGCCCCATGTCAGTCAACACATCCTTGCTCCTGGGACAGTTCATCAGAGCTCAGCCATGAAATATCCCTCCAGCCCAGTAAATTGACATTCTCTAATTGGTGCTAATGATGCCAGCTAGTAATTAGCTGACCCCACAAATCACCTGTCTATATACAATTAGTTGTGAACAGAGAAACTTTACTGATGTGTCTTTTAAAATGAGGCCCAAGATGTGATATGTATGATGTTTATTCATGCAGTGTGCACACTTCCATGTTCCCTGTAAGTGCTTACATTTTTCCACCTAATTTAGCTTTTTAACCACTGCTTATATATTAGTAACTCTCAAAACTCTGAATTATTTAGGGCATTTTGATCTTTACCTGGGAAATCTGTGTTGCAGGGGTACTCACAGGCACACTTTCAGTCTCTCCTGTGGGAATAAAGAACTTCAGTCAATTAAAATGACTTATTATAGTTGCTATAAATAACTGGAACAGAGGGTTTGAAGCCCCTCTTGAGGTACAAATCAGTTTTAAAGGACTCAAGTCTCACTTTATGAGGTGTGAACAGCATATTGTTTGTAAAATAAACTGCAATTATAAAACAGGAATGGCTCACCTAAATCAGATGTTAAATTCACCTCATTTTCTGTCCTGTGTCTGTCCAAAGGTGATCCATGAGAAGAGGTAGGAAACCTTGTATGTGCAGTTAGGACTAAATTGCTCCCTGTGTATCAGCCTTACGTAACAGGTTTTTTACCCTAAAGCATTACTGATCCGTCTCTCTTCTGAAATTGTGAATTTTATCCTCTACTATATTTGTACATATTTCTATTATCTCCACAAAAGACTGATCTGATCTGTATATTTTAAGCCCTAAGTTATATTTTGTCACAATGCATTCCAAGCAATGTCTTCTCGAACACCAAACATCGTTTCATCAGTTTAATCATTCCTAGGTTTTTGTGGCATTGTGATCCCACCTGATATTGTACAATGGAGCTAGACTTAACATTTCTGAACCAGACTTAGCTCATGGAGGAGCTTATATCTATTTTGCAGAAGTGTTTTGGACACTGCAGAGACATTACCTCTAGGCATTAATGGGTTCTTGATTGAAACCAAAAAAGTCTGTATTTATTATTTACTCTTCTAACGTTGTCTCTTCTGTGCAGAAACGGAATAGAAATTATCGTTACTTGTGCCACCGTTACACTTTGAGGGAATTGCAGTCCAATGGTCATCAGTTCCCATGTTATTCCCTATGTCAGGCTCCCTGGCTGGCCTCCACTCCCAGAAAACGCCATGCCACCCAATTCCTTGTCTGGATCACCTCCCCTTAGCAATGTCACATCATGAGGTGGGTTTTCTCTTGCTTCCAAGAATTTGCTTCACCCTTCTCTGCTGTCAGTCACAGACATGACCAGTGACCCCATGCCCAATTCTAGGGGCAGCCAAGCTCCCTCTTTCCATGCAGAAGCTCAGTCCCTTACCCACCTGGCCCTTTAAGACCACAGAAATTAATTTCTACAGAGGCTTGAAAAGGGTGCAGAGAGGACTCTATGCAGTCAGCCAGTGATGAAATGGCAAGCTGAAGCCTGGAAGTCAGAGCTTTACAAGGCACAGCTATGTTCTGATTTCTTTACCCCTGAGGGGGAATATCGGTTACTGCCAAGGGCACCTATGAATTGGCCCTGTTCTGGTCTCTAGGATTTGTCCTGATTCAGAGGAACATGGGCAAATTCCTCAGTGACTCACAGAAGTGAGAGACAGAGGAGAAGAGGCCTTGTGCCCCTCTCTGCCCATGTGCCACTTTCTCCCTGTGCTGGCTGGTCTTGCAGCCATGGGGTTGGGTTAGCAGGGTCAGACATTCATTCCTCCAGGGAATATCCTCTGAGGTGCCTCCTGGGGAAAACAAAGGGCAGCAGACAGAAGTAACCATGACCCCAAACTGCCAGCTGTTTCATGTCAAAACTCATCAGCCAGCCTGTACCAAGTCTCAAGTTTCATCTTTTAAATGAGAGATTGTTTTCATTTTTGGCTTTGGCCCTTCTGGGTCTTTTTTTTTTATTATTTTCTCTGCAACCCCACAAACTAGAAACTGACTTTTGTCCTGAAGTGAATGATGAAGCTTTGTCACGATATCTGGAGTTGAGGCTTGAGAAGGCAGGCAGTACTTATTGTGATCCTCCTGAATCAAGAAAAGTGATGTACATGTCTGTTCTGATCTAAATGCTACTGCTGGACTCTTACTGTGGAATGGTAATGACTGACCCGAAAAGAGCAAGACATATTTCTTAATAGCACAATAAAACCAGATGCTGGGAGGACAGGGAGATGCTGTTTTTGCAACTTGGTGGACATATTGGATGCTGAGTTTTGTGAAGGGCTAGAGATGTCAGGTAGAAGTGCAGCATAGCAAGGAAGAGCCATAGTCTCCTCACATTGTCTTTGTGTGTTCTTCAAGCTGATACATAACATAGAGGGCTCGACCCAAGCCCTGCAGGTCTGTAAGGGCCTTTCATTTGGCTTCGGGTATGGATCAGTCTGTAATGTTCCTGAACGCGCTCAAAGCAAGGAACTACTCCTGAGCAAGACCAGAAGAAAGGAGAGGATCCCTGCTACTGTGATTTTAACTCACACCTTTGCTGTGGGCATGAGCAGAAGCACTTTGCAAACACCCAGTCAAAACCCAGATCATTTCTGTAAAGTCACTGCAAAGAGTCAGAATAGAGGAGACTCCTTACAGTTGCACTGTGGGAAGAACGGTGCTTTGTGGTTACCTCCCAATTTCTTCAGTGAGCAGCTGCAGCCCATAGGAGCATGCCAATTAATTGGAAAAAATCCCTGAGTTAATTTCCTTTTCAGCCTGCTGTAGTGCGATGGCCTGGGTACACAGACCTAATTTAGTCAAATTAAAATAATAATAATAGAGAAATTAACTCTTCTGTTTCTTATGCCATGAATGAATGTTGGCACCACAATGAATCCTTTAAGAGGGAAAGAGATGGTCCAGGCTCTCTCTTGAGCTGGCAGTTATGGGCACTCCTAAAGCTGCTCCCCCTGCTCCTCACAGTTTCAAGAGTTCCTCAGCATATAGACACAGGCAGCTCAGGTGGCAAGGCAGAGTACAATGCTGCAAGGGGTTTGGGGTGGAAAGCAAGTACCACTAGCCATGCATTCCACTGTAAGAAGGACATCTAAAGCCAATAACCACTAAAACCCTGGACCTGAAACCCATGAGCTTTGCAGACTTACTAAAAGTGCTGTAGACTGTAGCAAGACTGGTTGCATGCAAGCAGTTGTGGCCTGTAGTGCTTGCAAGACCAAGACTGGTACAGAAGTCTGGGTTGTGGCACTGACATAAACAAGAACACCTTGCAGCAAATCATGTGGGGGAGAGAAGCAGGTCCTCATCATAGCGCCCTGGTGTAAGACGTAGCTTTTTACAGAAGTCTCTGTACATCCCAAGGCAGAGGTGAATCCAAGGCAAGAGAGGAGAATGACTTCCTGTATTGGACATTACATATTCCACAGGATTATTTTCTAGAGGGAGGTGTTTCTAAAATAAGAACTAAAAACCTCAAACCCCAGATATTTCTATGAAACTAAAAGAAGGGAACACTTGTCCACAGCTGCTGTGGCTAAGAGGTGCTCTTGGAGGGCTAGCTGGCATCTGCCAACAGGTCATACGAGAGCAAGTTTCTTCTTCACTGTCTGTCATACTATCAAAAAGTGAAATAGGAGGATGTTTTACCTTCTTGTTTGTTTGAGTCCATGACTGCTATAGGGTGTGCATCCTCGTAGGGACTCCTGCCCTCACTCTGGAGGGGTCTGGCTGGTCACTGGGAACATCCCATGGCTTAGAGTTGCCCACATGTGAGCCCTGCGATGGGTGAGCTGGTGCGAACCCTGAGTGCAGAAAGATACAGAAAGGGTTTATTGAGTGGAGATGCTAAAAGTTCAGAAAACAGATGGAGGAGGAGAGATTTTAGAGGGAATGAGGCATCCAAAAGGTTTGTTTGGATTCACAGTGCCTCCAAAAGCAGAGCGGGCATGGGTACAAGCACTCCCCTCCCAGCCCAAGGCCATTTGTGCTTGTGTGGACAGGTGATTAAGAGGTACTGTGTAATCCCACAGAGATTACTTGCTCAGCAAGGTGCTTCTTGTATGAGTACAGAAGCAAAATGAGATGTGTTTTGAACGGCACATGAACATTTTGCACAGCTGCTTTGTATCAAAGAACCACCTTTTTGCTATGCAACTAATCACCCAAAATGTTCTCCAAACTTGTGTTTGGGCCACAGAGATATTGCCTTCACAATTCTGCTGCTCAGTTGTGCCGGCACTTTTGGAGGGACATGTACCACCATGCAGGTTCTCTGGAAACCAGGGCTGACAAGAGCATAATGCCGTGTCCAAGTCATTCCCTTGGTAAAGCGTGTCATCAGTCTGGTAATGGGGTTAGGACCTTAGGAATAGTCTTAAGATAATGCATGATTAATGATGCAGGCAGAACCCCAGAAAAAATAGATTGCACCAGCTCACACTTCTCTTATCAGCATGGGCACTGCCCCACATCCACACTTCCTCTCCCCAGAGTTTAATTCAAGTCTGATTTTGTCCAGACTTACTATGAAAGTAGATGTGATTTAGGAGTCTCAAATAACCTCCCACCTCCCTTCCTGTTTGACATAGATATGCCCAAGGCTGATGTGAGTTATCGTTAGCTTTGCTAATGGGATTGAAGAGGCCCAGTGTAATTATGGCACAGATCTCTGCTGACGCAGCACTGTCAGGAGGGGTGTGGTGGTTCGGAGAAGCCTGGGGTGATGTTTTCAGGAAAGCAGGCACAGAGAAAGGCACATAGCATTAGGCAGATGGGAGAGACACAAAAGACGAAAAAGCCCTGAGTGGCTTTAGGAACTTGCTGCAGAAGCAGTTGCTTCTGGTGCAGTCAGCAGTGTAGCTTGGTGGCCACAAACTTTTGACCTAACAGCTTTCCAGTGTAGAACTACTCACAAGGGTTAAGGGTGGTAGCACCATGGGGGGCCCTGAGATGGAGGAAATGCTGAGCATTTGTGAGCTGTGTGGCAAGGGATGTTTTTTGCAGTCAGGCTGGGAGTGGTACCGCCATCAGCATACCCAGCAGGCCTCTTGCTTAGTGTAAGATGTGGACTGAAAAGTTTCCAGCACAGTGCTGGAGGGCCTTGGGGTTTAGCATCTTCTTGAGACTGAGAATTAATGAAAGGATAAACTTATTTGTAAGGGAGCTGCTTATGAGATCTTCTAAGATCCGCTGTCTTCTCAGGACAGAGGGTGCTTTGGTGACACGTTGAAAACCTGAGCAAAGGTGAAGGGACTTTGGATGTGGGCTTTGTACAAACAGGCTGGGAAAGCTTCTAGGTGGATGCCTGGTTACAGTGAGATACATGGAATAGTTTGTTAAATCTGTTTTCTCTCGGCTGATAGTGTAAAAGTTTTTTTTTTGCTCTGAAGTCTTCAGCTCATGGCAGAGTTTAGATGGGCAAGGGACTTCTGGAGTTATCTGACTCAAAGCAGGACTAACCCCAAAGCTACATCAGATTGTTCAGGGCCACATCTAGTCCAGGTCTGAGTATCTCCCAGGGTAGAGACTTCTCAATCTTCCTGGGCCTGCCCTAGGGCTGCACTGCTCCCATGGGGAAGAATTTTTTCCTTATGGCCAGTCTAGGTTTCCCTTGTTGCCCTGTTACACCAAAGTAATTGTCTTTCATGTGTCCTCTAGCTGCAGCCTGCAATTTCCTGAGTTATCCCTCATTCTTTGTTAATTAAATAATTGCATTACATTGGCTACTTTCCAGCATTTAGGGCTCACCGGGGGACTCTGTGAATATATAATATTGCCTGCATGTCCCTGGTTCATCTGAATTGTTAAATATATGGAGCAAAACTAGTCAAACATTCTCATTGCTAAAACAAAAAAGCCTTGTGCTTATGACAATTCATCCTTTCATTGTGTCTGTGAGAAGAGCCTGACTGTCTGGGCTAGAACTCCCATTAGGTAGTTACAGATGGCTGTAGGACACCCCCCCTCCCTTCCCCAAGCTGAACAAACCCAACTCCCTCAGAGTCTCCTCCTATGCTGTGTGTTCCATCCCTCTTTAGCAGAAGATAGGAAACAACAACAACAAAAAAAAATTCTGAGAGGTACTCCAAAGAATGGCAAGAATTCTTCAAAAAAAAAAAACCCAACCTATGCAGTTGTTTTTAAAGTAACTAAACCTCCCCTCCAGTAGTTTTAAGAAGAAGGTTCTTAAGTTTGGATCTCTGAGTGAAACAGACTTTTAACTTCAACTTCGCTAGCAAAGTTGTTAAACTTTGCTCCCAGTTTAGACTAGTCAATGCCATAGCAAATTTCTGAGGCTTTTGTTATTGGCCATTGAACTAGGACCAGCTCATTTAACACTGAGAACTAGTTTCAAAATTCAGAATTGTTTTTGTAGTGTTGGGGGAGAAGGAACAAATAGAAAAAGCAAAACAGGTATGAAAGAAACATAAACCTTCTCTGTGATAAACTGTTTCACTGAAAATAATGAAAATAGCTTTTTGCTGGAAATTAATTAACTTTTTTAACAAAAACATGTACATATTTTTATCCATTCTGTTTTTACACTGTTTTATCATGCCAGTTGTAGCAATATAACAGCATATAATTGTTAACTATTAATAATAATTAGCAAATATCAATTAGTATGGAATTAGTTATATTAATATGCCATTAAATACACTAACTGCATAGTCTGTCTTTAAAATTTTATAAATTTACTATACACTTGGTGAATTGTTCTCGGTATCCCTCATCTCCAGTGACAATGTGACATTCATACCTCTGACCTTTGCAAGGCAGGGTGATCATACCCTGTGGGTACTGGGAACATTTCTTACATCACAAAAATGAGAATCTTTAACCCATAGTGCAGCACAGTTTTATATGGGGGAGTCAGGAAACTGTAATACATGAGGAAACATTGTATAAACAGGTCACAATGGCTGGCATCCAAGGTGAGAAAAAGCCAGAATTAAAACATAATTCAGTTCCATGACACGCTCTCTACTGCCACTCTTAAGACCAGCTCCTCCCAGGCATCTGAGACTTCAGAATGCTTGTGTCTCTAAGTCCCACTTGGGCAGGTCCCTTTGCACAGCACCTCACTGGGGCTATGCCATCAGTCTCACAGGTGGTGATTCAGAGTGAAGGATGCAACGCAAAGAGAATCTGTGGCTACCCTCCACTAACACATGGAAACCTATGGTTGTCATGAGGGGTGATGCACCTAAGAGGTTAAGCTCACAGGAGGGACTTCCTCCCTCTGCTATGCTACAGGTGATGATGTGAAATGTCTTGGGTCCACTACAAAAAAAAATAAGTTTGTCTGATATGGAGAAAAATAACCTACATGAGGTTTTAATTAGAGAGAAATAAGACTTGTAGAAGAAGGGCTTGCATGAGGATGTGTCAATGCCCCATTACCTATCTTCTGTTCTCATGTGCTTTCAAGTCAGGGCCACACAGGCCTGGAAGGTAGCATTGTATCTTATCTCTTGGGTTGTAAAAACACTGTAGGTTCCTGGTACCAGAAGGAATTTTTCCTTATAGAGGGAGCATAAAACCATATCTGCACAGCACGGAGATTTAACTGAGGAGCTTCCACATCACACTCATGCAGACAAGGACAATGTTTGAGCACTCCTCTGCAGAGCTTAGGAGTGAGGCTTTGAAACTGGGACACTGGGGATGCCACTATCTCCTCCTGCTCCAGGCACCACCAGGAGCTCCGGTATATGGTCACACTGCAAAGTAGGTCGACCTTGGTTATGTGGGTCCAGAAAATCTTCCCTGTTATACCAGAATAAATGTCCTCTAGATGCAGCCTGCTATTTCCTGAGTCACCCCTCGGTTCTTTGTTACATTAAATAATTGCATTATACTGGCTACTTTCCAGCATTTAGGGCTCATTGACGAACTCTGTGAATACAGAGGAAACCAGGACTGTGGCCCTGGTTTACCTGAATTGCCGAATATACAGAACAAAACTAGTCAGTACTTCCTCATTACTAAAACAAACAAGGCATGCTCCTCACCATGGTTTGGAGTGAATGGTTGTCCTCTGTTTCCCCTCAACTGCTGGGGGGGAACGACGTTTATGCTGTCCTCATCAGGGACAAGGGTTTCAGTCAGCCTGAGTTGGATGAACAGTGTCTGGCTTTTTCCCAAAGGGTGCAAAAAGGGGTTGGAAAATAGGACTGACATTTGACCCTAAGACCCTGGATGTGGGCTGCTTGGTCAAATCCTACCTCTGCTGGCAGCAAACAGCTCAGAAACCCACAGCAGAGTGTAGGTGAGTAGGAGGAACCCTGTATGTCTCCAGTCCAACTTCCTGCTCAAATCAAGGCTAACTCCAAACTGTATCTCTAGCTCCAGTCTGAATATTTCCCACACTGGAGTCTTTGCAGCCTCTCTGGGCTCTCCAGTATCCTGGGAAAGAATATTTTTCCTTACATCCAGTCAGGGTTTACTTTGCTGCAGTTTGTGTCCATTGCCTTTCACTGTGCACCTCTGGGAAGACTCTGGACTCTGCTTTATAGCCCCCTTGAGGCAATTAAAAGCTGAGGAAAAAACTTCTTTTCTCAGTCCTGAGCAAGCCCCACACCCTTAACCCTGACCCATATGAACATACATGAATGCATGTGCAATTTGCAGCAAGTGCAAACCCTCCATGAGGCTGCTTTCCTCAACCACCATCCAGCCTCCACCCACAGCAAATCCAATCCATTTGCTTGATATGCCAGCTGACCACAGGGTAGTTTCTTCATCAGCAAGGAGATGTTATTGTTCCTCTACAAGCTCCCCACTGGACAGGCTCAACACCCAGTGACATGAAGACTGTCTTGGCCCACAACCCAAACCCATGCCCCCCCTGCTTTAGGGACAAGAAACAACAAAGATGTGCTTGTTTCTTCAGAGCTAAGCAATAAAAGTCATTTACCCTCCTGCAGCTCTCATCAAGCCAGAATTACATCTCCAGAGCGAAGCCCAGAGAATAGTTTCAGGGTGTTAAAGCCACCAGATTCTTCTATCATGGCAAAAGGAAGTATTCTTCCCTTTTGTCTCTATCTTTCCTCCAGCTGCCAAATCTGCTGAGCCCCAGAAACAAAGCTGAGTGCCACATCTGCCATTAGTGATCGCCATGATTCTGGCCACTGGTGTCCAGCAAAGAATATGGCCCCAGTGCCTTGCACAAGCAGCTGGCACTGCAGCCCCTCTAGAGCAGAGCGTGTAGCATGTGAAAGTTAACAGAGGTAGAGCCAGCACACGTTTCCCAAGGAATCCCCAAGGAGAAGGTATGGGTGGACAGGAAGGTCCCAGTGGGTCGCCCACTTTAGCTATGCCTCAGGCACAGGGTTGAAGATGGGAGCAAGGTGCCACTGAAACAGTACAGGGGTGGGATTCCCACACAAAGCTGTGCATAGGGAAGGCAGGTCCTGAAGCCTGCAATGCATTTGTGTGACCATGCGCTCCCCCCACATGGAACTGGGAGAAACAACCAACTGTGCTGAGGATCACTTGTTAAAAAGACTAACCAAATACCCTGAGGACCAGCATGCAAACAGGAAAAGTTCAGTAAAGAATTTACAGCCTAGCCTTTACAGACGACAGTAACTATTTGTTTGGCTTTTGGTCCCATTCTGCTTCTGAAATCATTACATGGGTAACAGTGCAGGGGAATCCATATGCACTTTTGCTGCTTCAGTTGTTAGACATCTATAATTTTCCTAAATAACTGCTTGGGATCTTCCTAGTGACTGTCTCAATCCTGCCAGCTGAGATTGCTGGCTGTTTTAAATATCCCACTTGGAGAACAACACCCAGTTCTCTAAAAAGAGAAAAAAATCAGTGATTTACTCTCATTGCTCTCATGCTTTTCCTCCAGCTAACTCTAACACAGTTGTCATTCAAATACTTCAATTCAGTATGATACCTCAATTTAGCTCTTAAATGGTAAGAGCGTCTTTTTAACCTGGTATTTTAGAGACCTTACTACAAATGCAGCCTCACAAGATTCTGCAGCACACTAAGAAGCTAGATGTCCATACACAGTCTTAGAAGAAAACAGCTGGAAATAACTGTTAGGCACTGAAGATGCAAAATACTTTAAATACCATTTTATGTGCTGCACATGCAACATTAAATAGCTATGGCTCTAGCTTTTTCTAAGAACATAAAAAATGGTATTATTAATCCCACTCTTCATCCCATGATGAGTACATTTTAAACTTACCCCAGGCTAGCTGAAGATCCTTCAGCACTGGTGGTTGCCAGAGTTGAAAATTAGTACTGTGCAAGAACGGAGAGAGAGAGAGGAGAACAGTGGTGGCTTGACATTTCCCAGGATGGGACGGTCACATGCTAATCACTGATTTGAGATGCAAGCATAACAATTACCTTCTAATTATGTAATCTTTGGGTCACATCCTCGCATCCCCATGCAAAAATCAGGACTGTGCACTTGGAAGATGATACCAGTTTGGGTTTTTTTTTCCCTTTTTAATTAGAATTGCACACTGCTGCGAAGAGAGGGTGAGAAGCTTTATGAAGTGACAGGCAGAGGCGGCCATGTGGTGAAAGCCAGATACTGATGTGGTCTCTGCTACTTCGCTGAGCTCAGAGGCTCTTAAGTACCTGGTGTAGCACCTGCAGCTGGGGAAAGGGAGACGGAAGCAGCTTCTTCCCACTTTCTCTGACACCCTTAGTCTCCTACAGTGGGATGCCAGGGCCAGGAAGGTTCCCCTTCTTTCATTCAGGGGCCAAGAGCAAGGTTGTCAAAGTAGCCAGGGCAGGGGAACAGCAACCACCAGCACTTGAGTATTTTCTGTTGCTTGTTAGATCATGAAAAATTTACTCTGAGTAAAAATAAGTAAGGACTTGGAAGGAAGTGGAAGAATGGGAGGCAGCAGCCCTTCATGCCTGCTCCATTTCTTCACTAAAGTCCTTCAGGGCTTCTTGCTCTGAAGGGTGTCAAGAAAGCACAGGGAGAATGCAGGTAAGCCAAAGCCAGGGGTGTCAGGAAAAGGTTTGAGCCAGTCCAGGGAGTTACTTGAAGTGTAAAAGCAGGGAGACATAAAGGAGGAGGAACAGTAACACAAGGCAGACTAATTTCTCCCTGAAAGACAAAGATCTGCTTCACAGATACCCTTCAGGCAGAAAACCTGAAATGTAAAACTACACAGCCTACATCAGTATGATTGCTGTGCAGCCCAGATAAAGGTGGTGATGGGGAGTCCTAGCAAAGGAGTTGAAAGAAGAGGCTCATGGATTAACAGCAGCTCTGTGGAAGATGCTGATACCTCTGAAGTCAAGGACTAGGGACAGAGGACACTGTTTCTTTTTTGGAGCTGGTTATTACAGGAACAAAACACAACATTGAACAAAACAAAATTCTAATTCTGAAGGAGTTTGCTGGAAAGTGTATTTTTTTAATGGGTCAAAGACATCTGTGAATTCAACAAACAGCTCAAACTAGGAAAGACTTTTTAATAAATAAAAAAATTTAGCATCACAATTCTATGAACAAAACATTTCAAATAGAGATTTTCCCACAGGCAGCTTTAAGAAAAAGGGCTGAAAGGCATTATATTGCCAAATGATCCATGAGCTTCTTTATTTCAGATGGCTCAGTATGTTTCAGTCTGCTGATAATGTGCCATTTTTTTCATTTTGCTAATAAACCACAGGGACCAAGTTTTTTCTGATTCCAAGCAAAAGGAGCTGAGTACTCGAAGGTCCATATGAAGGAACAGCATTTGTACACTGTGTCTGCAAATGGAGGCAAGAACAGGTATTTACTAAAATTCCATTAAATATCTGGCAAGCAAAAACTCAACACACATTTTTTCCTGACAGCACTGATATGTTGGAAGGGTTTTTTTAAACACGAAAGCAGTTTTTCTGTTTTGTAAAGCAAAGTATTTAGATTCATAGTACAGAGACCTTTGATGACCAAATACAAACAAAAACAGAAATAGATTTTTCATTGCATTAGACTTTCTGAAAGGACAGTGGCAGCATTCAGACCCCCCTATGCACTCTCACATTCACTTCCCTTCCCCAAGAAAAGCAGCTTTGGGTCATGGCAGAGGTCTGTCCTTGAGTAGTCCAGTACCATAGCTTGGAGGTTATGGACTTGACCTGCGAGGAATAACTACCATGTCACTTAGGAGACTTCAGCTGATCAGTCTGAAAAGAAAAATAACTTCATTTTATTTAATATTGACATGCATCCTCAGGGGCTAGTTTTAATAAATATATGAATAAATCAATGCCTGTTGAACACTGGTTACAGCTGTTGAGGCCAGAATGCAGTCAGAGAGCTGCCTTTAACCCCTGCTACTGTCCATGCCAAATAGCTGCATTTTCAACTTCTGTTTCAGTCTCAATGTTGCTGAGGCATGAAATGTAACACTCCATTTCCATCTATGCAGGCTCCTTCACCTTCCATCCTGTAACGACATAAATCCAGCCTACTGAGAATACAGTTTGTGGCAGCACAGAGATAAGCAAATTGCCAGGAATGAGAACTTTCCCAGTGTAGTGTAAGTACCTGCCTTAACTTTCTCCCACATTGTATACTGTAAAAGTTTTGACCTATACTAAAGCACACAGGTTAGACAGCCAAGAAATATATTCCCTTTTTTTGCAAAACTGTATTTATACTAATGTCCTCCCAGCATGTAGCCTCCACAGGAAAAAATTCAGTCAGGATTTGAAGTTAGCAGGAATTAAATCCTAATGAAGTTTATCCTGACTTTCATTAGGGGCATCTTAAAGATGCATAAGTGTATGCAGACAGTTATTGTCTAATATTCTTGCTGTAAAAATCCATCATCTCTTACCCTTTCCCCATCCTACTGTGTGCTGTTACGACCAAGTGCAAGGATTTGCAGTCTCCTGTGGGGAAAAAAAAGTAACTGCCATGGGAATTCAGCCCTCATAAACTACATATTTCTGCTGATCTTTGAAAGCTCTGGTTAACCTCATCATTATACCTGGCAACTGCAAAAAAGAAATGTCTATGCATCAGCATCCCTTGTGAATGAGGGGGAAATAACTTTTTAAATCAATTACTGGAGTTTTGTTTCCCTTAAAAAATGAAGCCACCTAGCAGTCACAGCAAGTTGCTATGGTGCTGCCTATTTATGTTCTCTCATGAAAGCAGCAGTGATCTGGTGAACTGACACCTATCTCATGTGAGTAGGTGGAAACTAGCAATCCTGAAACTTGGCAAAATAACCTGCATTGGGCTGTCAGAGAGTGGTGCATATTAACAGTCACAAAGCAGTGTCAAAAAGTCTTAATTCCGTGGTGAAAACAACAGTGGCTGGCAAAGATAGGATTCTCTGCTGCCAAGGGATTACCTACATCAGCATTTTAGTTAGTTGAAATCACAAGTTCAAACCAGAACCACCTGGGTTTCTCTACAGATCAGCTACTAGTGACAAGCACTGTTCTGGCCCCTTTGCAATGGGCTATATTTTCACAGGAGAGTAGAGGCATCACCCCAAAATTTGTAAGAAAAAATGACTGTAAAGCTATGTATGTGATCTGCTGCTGAATGCCCTCACTGAAGTGATGAGTACTCACAGGTTTAGACTCCATGCAAGAATTCACATCTGTCATTTCATATGACAGTAAAAAGACAGAAGCTCTGTAACATATTTCAACATGCCAGTGTGAAAGAGCATAACTTAACTCAATCTGTTCTAAAGCATTGAAATAAATGTCTTTAATTTTTTCCAAAACATTTGGGTTTGTCATACCGGTTCCCATTTTGTATCCAGGTACATTCTGTAACACACATTTCATTTGGTGTATGATCATTTAGAAATAGAATTGCTCATCATTCTAGTACTATTGTGGCTATTGGTTTTGGTTAGCAGGGCAAGACAGAGCTTTTTTTTCTGATGAAAGATCACATATTAACAATCATAAATTTTAAATTTATTTCAGACACTAGACTGGGGAGGCACTTAAAGAAAAAGTAAACCTAAATAAAACCTAGCAAATTTGACAGAGAAGTAATTTAAGGAGAATAAACATGAATTTTCTCGTGTCATTTTTTACAGTTAATTTTCTCATTAAATCTGCTTTGTGGATTATGGATATTGACTTCTTGTTTTAGGAAAAGACAGTATTTTAGCAACTCAAGACACACACCCTTATTCAAAACAAATTAACTCGGTTGATGTTTATATGAGTGGCACTAAAATATTTTATTCTGAGTGATGAAAATAAACGTTCACATTTTCCTATCTCTCTGAAATTTGTACTTTACCTCGAAAAATAAGCAAACTTTGCAAACTGTTAGCACAAATCAGCACTGTATTTCTGCATGCACCTATAGGCAAACAGCTTGAACCAGCTCTGAAAGAGGTCTGAACTGTTCTGTTTCTGTGAACTCTGCCTGAGCCCAGAGACCTGGGTATGAGTGGAATAACCAACTTGAAAACTTCTGACTGGGAATGAATCATAGACTTTTAACTAATCTCATGAAAAGGATACAACTGGGATCAGCAATCTCAACTACCCACTGCAAATTTCACTGGTAGCAGAAGAAACCTACTCTCATGCAGAGTGAATTTTATTTGGACTTTACAGCCTATGAAATCAAAACTAACAGAAAAGACTACACAATCCTTCTACTTCAAACATAATTGTTTTCACTGAATGGTCCAACGTACTTTGCTCCATTTGGAAATGTGTGGGTTCCAGCCCCATGAAACATGTTGTCTCTGAACTCACCTTCATAAACTGCCCCAGAAGGATGTTCTAGCCTTCCAGCTGCATTCATCTGCATTTAATGAGAGATGAAGAATAAAGAAAATGTTTATGTTAATGTGTATGCTTACAGTGTTCTCTCCTTTTATTACAATATCCTTTCAGATTGCTGCCTTTGGGTCTGCTATCATATTCAGATATGATAACGGAGAGAAAAGTGACTATTCTCTCAGGTTCAGACAGGTTCTACAGGTTCCTGCTTTTACAAGGATTTTAGGTGAGAGTTTAGAACATTTGGCTAGCCAGTGTCTAATAAACCCCTCCTCTGCTGGTAGTCTCACACGATCTTAACAATCTCTGCAGCACAGACTGCTGTCCCCAGCCCTGCAAATAACTCATCTACCCTCACACCCTGAGGGGTTAATTAAATTTTCTGGAATTTCTCTCTGTGAAACAAGGCAGAGCAAGAGAGCAAGTCTTTCATTTGTTCAGCCTAGTTCACTAAGCCATGCCTGTGGATTTAAATCTGTGCTATAAAGCACTTCTGTGCCATAATCTTATCATTGTACCAATATTTTTGTAAGACACTGAAAAAAAACAGACTAGATCTAATAAACCCACAACATACTGTTCCCTAATTGTCAACCCATATTTGTCTCATTTCAGCGACTGTTTCCTCTCCAGCATCAACAAAATAAGCAACTTTCCTATACTTACTAATTCACAGAATCACAGAATCATCTAGGTTGGAAAAGACCTTGAAGATCATCCAGTCCAACCATTAACCTAACATTGACAGTTCCCAACTACACCAGATCCCTCAGCACTGGGTCAACCCAACTCTTAAACACCTCCAGGGATGGGGACTCCACCACTGCCCCAGGCAGCCCATTCCAATGCCCAGCAACCCCTTCTGCAAAGAAATACTTCCTAATATCCAGTCTAAACCTTCTCTGATGCAACTAGAGGCTGTTCCCTCTTGTCCTATCGCTTATTACTTGGTTAAAGAGACTCATCCCCAGCTCTCTGCACCCTCCTTTCAGATAGTTGTAGACGGCGATGAGGTCTCCCCTCAGCCTCCTCTTCTCCAGACTAAACCCCCCCAGTTCCCTCAGCCGCTCCCTATACGACATGTGCTTCAGACCCTGCACCAGCTCCGTTGCCCTTCTCTGGACACACTCGAGTCATTCAATGGCCTTTTTGTAGGGAGGGGCCCAAAACTGAACACAGTCATCGAGGTGTGGCCTCACCAGTGCCGAGTACAGGGGTAAAATCTCTTCCCTGTCCCTGCTGGCCACGCTATTGCTGACACAAGCCAGGATGCCATTGGCCTTCTTGGCCACCTGGGCACACTGCTAGCTCCTGTTCAGCCGGCTGTCAATCACACCCCCAGGTCCCTCTCTGACTGGCAGCTCTCCAGCCACTCCTCCCCAAGTCTGTAGCGCTGCTGGGGGTTGTTGTGACCAAGGGCAGCACCCAGCATTTGGCCTTATTGAAACTCCCCCCAGTTGGCCTCAGCCCATCCCTCCAGCCTGTCCAGATTTCTAATTCATTCCTGAGAAACTCAGTAACCAAAGGCAGCCAAACAATATTGTATCTGTCGATGGCCAGAGCTCCCCTGTTTCATTTTGGGATGGGTGTGGGGCATATATACATGTGCAGGAGGGCCATGCCCAGCCCACTATGCATGCACAGCCCAGCCATACAGGGCTCTCACAGCGGCTGGGCCATGCTGGGCACCACCAGCTCCACAGTGCCTGGGTGTTTCACCAGGGTCTGCCTGCCAGCAATGACTGGTGTGTTTGCACGAGCCTCGGGAGTCAGCAGGACATCTGAAGACCCCAAGTGTCTCAAGTCTTCAGACTTGGCTGTGACAAGATTCCGAGGTGGAAAAACAGCCTGCAGCATTAGTCTGATCCTTCTCAGGTTATGATTTTCCTTTCTGTCTCTTTTTAAGTGTGGATATAGTGAGACATGCTCCATTCCAAACCCAGAGAAAGTTAAAATAAAGGAATACTTTAAATTACTGTGTCATTTTTCCAGCTGCTGACAAATGTAGTTCCATTGATGCTAGTATGGACTCATGACTATTCTTTTTGAGCAGACCTTCAGGTATCCTTCTGCACTCTCCCTCTAGAAAACAAAAGTGGTGGAAGGTAGGTATTTTCACTTCAAGACAGATAGCATCTGAGAGGCAAATCCTATGAGATCATGCAATGCATTTCTTTTGTTGCACAGAGACACTTTCCCCAGAGCTGACTCTCCATCTCCTGCAGACAGACTGCTTCCAGAGACAGGAACTTGAAGCACGCAAGCCATACTGGAGCAGGTGTCTTTGGGTGCCACTCACAGCAGTTGCATTACCCCTTCTTCCACCACCACTGAGCCCCACTTGTGGGGGGGCGTGGGGCAGAGCAGATCCCAGTGTACTGTCAGGGTCATGGCTGTGGCTGTCTACAGGAGGACTCAGAGGAAACACCCCTACATCAGCTTCTCTGTGTCTGTGGGAGGTTCTTACACAGCTAAAACAGTGTGTGACCTGGGTAATAATCTATTTTTGCTGTTAAAAATTTTTGCTTTAAATTCCAACCTGTCACAAGTTGCCCAGAGGGGTTGCAGAGTCTCCATCCATGGAAATATTCAGGACCTCCCAATGGGATGTGGTCTAGGGCAGCCATCATGGGTGACCCTGCATGTGCAAGGGACCGGCGATCTCCAGAGGGGCCTCTCCGTCTCAGCTGCATAGCTTCAGAGTCACTTTTTTATGTAACTCTCACCCCAAAACTGGTATAAATTTCCTGTTTTAATTGCACTCAATATTGCAAAAGGAATTAGTACCTACCAAGATTTTTTTTGCCATACTTGCCTTCACTTGGGGATATGAAAGACACTTTTAAAACCACAGCATCTGTTGAGAAAAAAACAACCAGTGTCACTGTTACAGTTGTTGGCTGAAATTCAAATATATATATCTTCAAATACACAGCAGCTTGAAACAACACATAATTATTAGCATGCTGCTTGAGTGTGCCCTTCTTTATAGGGAAGCCATCAGTCCTGTCTGTGGTGAACTGAGTTGTTTTAAAAGGATAAAAGAGCAAAATTTAGCAAAAGACAAAAAAGCAGCATTTCTCATATGACCTGCAGCTCAGAATCCAAATTTTGTTTTGTAATCAGAATCATTATTGCTATAAATGAATTTTGGTTGCTTAGTTCTGGGATAGAACTATTGTATTATTAAGCTTTATGACCAACAGAATGGTAATCTGAAACAGTATGAGAAGTGAGGGTCGGCCGGGCGGAGGAAGTGTTGCCTCCCATGGTTGCCAGGCGGAAGTGTGGGAGGTTGCTAGGGAGGTCTTCGACCCGGAAGAGGAAAGCAGGAGCTTCCGGGTCAAGGGGCGGTGAGCCGGACGGGTGCGGGCCGGAGAGGTGGGGGCGGCTCTCGGGGTGTGAAGGCTGTCTCTTATACACAT